TAGCTCTTGGATAGTTTTAGTTTCGCATAATCGATGATTGCTCTGACTTTTTGGCAGGCGGTTTGATTCCTTCCTTGCTGACGGTGAAACCAAGAAATTAAACTTCTTGTTGGCCAAATACGCATTTCGAAGGGTTGATAGTGATTCCGTTGTCTTCTAATCGCTGTAGCACGGTGTGTAGATGGGTTTCGTGCATTTCTTTATCAATGCTTGCAACAAGGAGATCATCAATGAATGCGAAAACGAAATCCAGTGTATGAATCTTTGGAAGGTTTGACCAGCATTCTTTAATCCTGGGGTCATTCTTGGAAATTCGAATAATCCCATTGGGGTAATTATTGCTGTCTTCTCTATGTCTTCATCGCGTACTCTTATTTGTTGGTAAGCTCGGTTGAGATCGATGGTGGAGAATATAGTCTTTTCTGACAGTTGATGAGTGAAATTCTTGACTGGCGGTATTGGGTAGCGGTCAGGAGTGGTGATAGAATTCAGTCTTCTGTAATCTCCACAAACTCATAATTCTCCAATCTTCTTCGGTACAATGTGAAGTAGTGATGACCAAGGGCTTTTGCTTGGACGGCATATTCCTTGCTCAATCATGTTTTTGAATTCCTTTCGAACTTGTTCGTATAGGTGTGGTGCGATTGGATGTGCACCGCAATGAAATGGTGGTCCATTGGTTTCGATGAAATGCTCAACGTCGTTCTTCGGTGTTAATTTTATTGAAGTTATTCTTGTGATTCCAGGGTATTCTTCGAGAATCTTGTGATACGATTGTTGAACGTCTATGCTTCTTATTGAGGGAAGATTGGTTGCTTGGACGAAAGACTGAGATGCAAGATTGGTTTTCCCGTCGATGATTCTTCTATTTTTGATGTCGACGATCAACTGGTGATGTTGAAGAAAATCAGCACCGATGATTGGTTTGCTGACTTTAGCGACAATAAATCTCCATTTGAATGGTCGGCGTAGGTTTAAATCCAGCTCCATTGTTTTGTCTCCATATGTATGATCACCGTATTGTTTGGTGCATAGAGTTGAAAATCCAGTGGCTTCAACTTCTGCCTTTGTTTCGGCGGTAACACTGAGATTTTCGCTCCGGTGTCGATAAGGAAAGTAAGCTTGATTTTTTTTTATCGGTGACGAAAAGACGGTAGGACTTTGCTGTTACGCTGGAAACCCGTCGCATCGAGCGTATTAGTTAGTTTTCCGTATTCGTATTTTCACTTTTGAATGTACTGTATAATGTATGTGTTTTGAATGTATGTAGCAGTAAGGGGATCTTGATGTTGAGCTTGCTCGATTTCTACTTGCAGAGCGGTTGCGACGAAAAGGTGATCTTCGGTGTTGCTGATTGCGCTGGTTATACTGTTGCTGGTAAAAGGTGTGATGCTGGGAAGCTTTGAGCGCGGCGACTTCGAATGATAACTTCCGAATTTCTTCAAGAAGAATCTGCTCTATAATGACGGCTTGATTACACTGATTTTATATATACTGAAGTCTTCCTTCTCGGTGTTCGTAACGGGATCTTCCTTCTAGGTGTTCGTAACGGGATTTTCCTTCTCGGTGCTCGTAACGGAATTTTCCTTCTCGGTGTTCGTAACGGGGTCACCACTGTAATAGAGGGGATAAGCGGTCCACTATTAACAGACTCCGAGTGTTCTAGTGGCGGAGAAATGAAACTACTATTTATGTGCAAACGACTGGTGTATCAAGTATTGAATATGGAATATGGAATGAATTTTACGTCGACCTAGCCTATATTTATATGTCCGGCTACGTCGTTAGACTCGTGTTATCTTCTTGTATCTACGTCGCTAGACTGGGCTATAAAAGTTGTGCGGGCCGGCGCGCGCGCCTAGTCGACGAGCGGCGGCGGCGTGGGACCCAGCTCCGGAACAGCAAGAAGAAGCGAGCTGAGGTGTTGAAGAAACGGCTTCAAAATGATCGACGGATACATAACGATAGCGGTGTGTGAAGACGATGTGGCGCTGAATGATATTTGCGGCTGTTTCTTGTTTCTATATTAGAACGTTAAATATATACGTCAAATTATCTCGCATCAATATGCAGCCCGCAGTATCTCAGTAGGTAGCCGGGTATAGTTAGGAAATACGTAGGCGGTCCCATAATGAATTGGCCTAACTATGAACCAATGAAGGAAATGAAACGAAACCAATTTTATTTTTCAATATAATCACCATGAATACTAACACACTTCTGACATCTGTGAATCAACATCTCTAAACCTTTATAAAAATAATCACATTTTTTATCCTCAAAATGACTGAAGACGGCCGCCTGCAACTCTTCATCGCTTGAAAATTTTCTTCCTCTTAAGTTCCGCTATAAATTTGGAAATAAATAATAGTCGGACGGGGCCATGTCTGGACTATAAGGTAGATGTTGAACTTCTGTGAACCCGCATTGACGAACTGCATCCTTCGAAACACCAGCGGTATGAACAGGGGCGTTGTCATGGAGCAACAGGACACCTTTAGACAGCTTGCCTCTTCGTTTTTCCTTTATCTTGTCTCGTAATTTATATATTAAAGAAGCATAATATTCGCCGTTCACGACTGTATTACGTTCTTTAAAATCCACCATCAAAATGCCTTGAAAATCCCAAAATATTGTGCACATCAGTTTTTTAGTCGATTGTTGCACCTTTGCCTTTCTAGGGGGCTTTTCACCCTTATAACGCCATTCCATTGACTCGCGCTTGCTTTGTGGATCATAATACAAGATCATAGTTTCATCACCAGTCACTAGCCGCTCGATCACAGTCTTTGGATTTTCGCCACAAAGATCCAAAAACTCCGAAGCGCAGCGCACTCTTTCCTGTCTCTGTACCGCTGAAAGAAGTTTCGGTACCCATCTTGCACTCACTTTTTTCATGTGAAGATGTTCATGGATCGCGCGATGAACGGTACTCTTAGAGAGCCCAAGCCTTGCTGCAATTTCTCTAATCTTCAAACGGCGGTCACTCAGAACCTCCTCTTCGATAAGAGCAATCGTTTCGGGAGTGAGCACTTCCACAGGTCGACCGTCGTGGCCAAAATCTTCGACGGTTTCTCTCCCGAGGCGAAACTCTTTCACCCAATTTTTCACTGTGCTATAGAAGGTGGCAGACTCCTTATATACGCCATCCAATCGTTCTTTTATTTGGGCAGGGGAGAAACCTTCTTTAAACAGAAACTTTATGACACTTCGATACTCAGTTTTCGACATTTTGAAAAAATACGCGACTCTCGTTATTCAAATGCCTGTTAAACTAAGACTAAGCATTTCGTGTCGATGAATGTTTCTTATATTAAGTGCACGATAAACGTACTATTTAATGCAACACAACATGTAGCGACATGTCGCGTTGAACTATATCAGGCCAGTTCATTATGGGACCGCCTGGTAAATGTTTTCTTCGCCTTCTGTGTTATGGTAGCACAGGGTATATATTATTTATTGCCGATTAGCCTGGCTGCTACACCACCATTAGACCCAATAACAGAAAGATAAATAATGACCCAAGCTAAACAACTAAAATCTGGGAACAGCCCAGGTGAAGACAACATCACAAACAAAACCTTAAAAATTGGAGCATCAACCCTGGTTGCATATCTAGCAGAATTCTTCAACTTAGTACTAGACAAAGAGCAAGTACGCACTGGAGTAAATCAAACATTACATAGAAACTATTACATAGAAAGGGAACTCGCTCGACATCAGCAACTACAGGCCTTTAGCTTACTATCAACACTATATAAAACTGTTTATATCAACCATCCGAAGAAGAATAGCACCAGATATTGACAAGAATCAGGCAATATAACACGCGGGGTTCCGGCCGCACTCCTCAACAATAGACCACATTCACTAAATGGAACAAATAATAGAGAAAGTTGAAGAATTCTATAAAACATTTTGCATAGCTCTATATAGCATACCCATCTATATGGACTGGCCTAAGAAATAATGATGTAAACAAAACATATGTAAATATCATAAAGGAACATTTAAATAAAACTAGATTTTACGGATTTTATAGCGTATAATAAGTTATTAGCTTATTATTATATATATTAACTTATTATTTTTATTTTATATCCCCGGCGTTTCGAGCACTTTACAGCAATCATGATCACTGAGGTGTTTAACATTCCTAGAACAAAATTTGTTCCGATCTACGCAGTATGAACTTATAGTATCTAGAAGTATTGCAGTTGTATGCTTGTGTTGGAATTTATTTTTATTAATTATGGGATCCCAAGCAGATGATAGCACCCAGTCATCTTCTCTATTGAAATGGGGATGTTATTTTTAAATTTCAATAGCCTCGCAATCATCCTTCGAAGGATTGTAGCGTTAAGAACACCGATTCCTTCAAGGATGTACGCTACTTTAGATTTGATAGACCACAAATCCTCACTAAAGAACACCGATTCCTTCCAAGGATAATTTGCAAGGCTATTGAAATCAAAAACATCCTGATTTAAATAGAGAATTGGTTGCTGCGTTGTGGGCCGCAGGTTCTAATCCCGCACTGAACAATTAACTTTATGGCCTATAAATAATTGTTCCGAATTCCGGTTGTTGTGAAATTTATGTATATAAACTGCCTCGACGATACATGAGAAAATCCTAGTGTGGAGGTTACATTTTTATTTAAAAACAGTTGACAGGCAAGCCCACTTCAGATGTATGTTGGTGGGCTGCAGCGAGATGGGTGTCTTCCCCCGGCTACCGCTGAAGCCGAGGTGGATTTGCGAGGGTCTTATATTTAGTCTATCCTCCAAGACTGAAAGTTGTTGAAGTCTTTCATTATTATTATCAGTGTTACTAAATATAAAACAACAAATACTGAACAATAATTTTATTAATTTTACTAAAAATAACACATTTTAGTTTAGGCTTATTTGTATTTATAATACATTATATACAAATATAATACAAAGGTGTACTAAAAAACTAAACAGAATTGAAGTCATTTTGTCATCGCATCTTTATTTTCTTAAGTTGCTGACGAACTCAGGACTAAAGGGAGTGGCGTTGAAATGGAAATTGTTGCTGTGGTTTGCCACTGTATCTTTGCCCTGAAAAGAAAAATAAATTAAAATTTATTCTTAAATAACATTATTATTTATTCCGTCCTTGGTTTTATTCTATTTAAAGAACTAAAATCCGATCGTTGCATTGACAGATTCATGAAGTGCCTGACCATTTTTCATTATTAGTACTCCGTTTAGATAAAAGGAAAGTCTGTCAATGTTAGTCGATTTGTCAAATCACATTTGGCCATATAATTAAATATTGGGTACAAAAGCAATTTTCCAGTATGATAAGGTGTGGGTTGGCTGGCACTTTAAAGTTAAAATTTGTTTTTTATTTAAGTGATCAACTTTGAGAATTTTATTCCTTCATATTTTCATTCTATTGAATAAAAAATTAAAATAGGTTTGGTCGCTTAGTATTATTTATGTAGCATGTGGATTTCTGTAAGGTCACTGAATGATCATCAGTGAGAGCTACTATTTGAACTACTTGACTACTTGAACTGCTAGAAGGTGAAGAAAAATGTCATAAGTATGCATGTCAGAGAATTTATAAATAATTCAAGAACACAAAGTGAACGGTAGAGCGGGGAAAAGACGCCTTAGACGAAAGTTTATCGACTATCGACCAAATTAGCGATATATTGAAGATGAAACAGTCTTAATCGACGAGCGAGTATGAGTAGGTATATGGATATAAAGGTGGCGAGAGAGAATCGTATCAGATGGAAGTCCGTAGTCTCTGCTTACCCCTCTGAGTAACAGGTGTGAGTGTTTATGTAATATGTGAAGTTCGCTAACACTCAGTGCAGCGTAGCGATCTTTGTCCTGCTCGAAAACTCTCAGAAATAAGAGGTATGTGCTGTGTGGAACATATATATATACTGTTACTTCAGATAAATGGACTTCATCGTCACGACTTCAACGACATCCGTCACATCATCTAGTAAGCCTGGTAATTCTAGAAACATCCAAGTTATTTTATCAAACATTGTTCTTGAGCATTACAAGCACATACCATGTCGTCGTTGACCGAGTCTTGTACAGAGTCGGTATCGGGCGGGAAGTAGTCCTGTCTGAACTGAGGTAGATCTTCGATGCCGATCAGATCGGAGTCACCGGAGTCGCTGCTGAAATCACTGTTGTATATAATATGTTCTTTATGTTTTGTCTATTTTGGCAGAGAGACTGAAATAAAATACTTTATATCTCACTGAAATGAAACTTGGTCAACTAGGATATTTAATTATTATTATTTACATGACTATTTGTTGAGAACAATATGCTCGCAGAATATGCAATTTTGCACCGTAATTGTCTTTTACCTAAAATTAAAGAATAGTTTACAATAATGTGGATGGTGTGGTTTTGGCCTGCTCCGTAAACCTCCTGCATCTGTAGTCCTTATCCTGTTTGCATTCAGAAGTAAGAAGGACTTTGAAGATAATTCCTTCTTACTTCTCATGCTCCTAAATTTTTTATAAAACTTTAGTGACAACATAACCCACAGTTCGTCTGATGAGTTGTGGCCACAAAAGTTTATGGTGGCATTTGCCGTTGCAAATGGTGGAAGTTAGTTAGCTTCAATCAAAGAAAGTTACAGGTGCGTTGTCACCTCAGAGAAACGAGACGGAATACCGCACAGTCTGTAATTATATTTGTTTCTTTGCTTTTGCACTCACTGGTATAAAGCGGCGCATAAACCATACTTCCTCAATTTTACCGTCGAGCAAAGTAACTTTTAAAAGAGGACATGAGAAGATGCTATATATATGCGATAGCTCTTCGATAGAAAGTGACCACGGCCACCCTTGAACAACTCTAGCACTAAAGGAATCGTAGTAGCGTTGCCGACTTCAAGAAAAGGACTAGGCAATTTTTTTTCTTTCAAAAAGAAGTCCCCTGGTGTTGCAGTTGTTCGTGAGCAGTGGTTGACACTTACCATCAGCTGAGCCACATGCTAGTCTGCTCTTTCTTCTATATAAAAAAAGGTTTAATAATTCATATTTAATAGCTAATGGGGTAATTTTATAATCAAGCAGGGCCATATTTATTCGGAAAATAATATTACCGCTTGTTAAATAACGTATCTATTTAGCAGACAATTTTATGCTCAGAAAATTTACTGATTCCTGTCACGTGACCTGGTTGGACCTGGTGACTGATTGGCGGTTTATCCATTTCGAGCTGTCAAATGTTAGTACCACAGACTGGTCATGAAGCAGCATTACCAGTGTGAAATAACGATTCTCTTGAAGCCTCTAGTTTGTAACCACTGTTAATGAGCCTTCTGATAAGAGTAAAATATTAAACTGATCGTTAAAATTAAAACTGAGCCTAAACCAAGCCCTAAGAGTATAGCAGACGGTAGGTAGTAAACCGGGCATAAGGAGTATAACAGACGACAGGAGTAAACTGGGTGCAAGGAGTATAAAAGGCAGTAAGAGTAAACTGGTCGGAAGAATAAAATAAACAGAAGGAGAAAACCGGGCGCAAGTAGTAGACCAGGCGGTAAAAGTAAACTGAGTGTAAGGAGTTTAATACCTATTAAAAGTGAAACGGACGTAAGGAACATAAATGACATTAAGAATAAACCCGGCGTAAGGATTGGGTAGGCTCGACCGGGGAAGGACCACGCTCTCACAGAATACAAGCGTAAAATAGTAGCGTTATGTTGCTGTGCTTTGTATGGTGAGTGTAGAGATATCAGGCACCATGAGTTTTTTTTATAGTGGTGAACGAAGTAGGTAAGCTAGGTGTTACTAAGTAAATCTGGCGGTAGCATAAAATACGTACCTAATTGCGTCGAGATCCGGCGCTTTGATAGCCTCATTCCAGATGGGATTGGAGCCCTCGACCGCGTGCTTGTTGGTACCCGGCGCCGCGAGCCCCGCGCGGTTCAGCGCCGAGTCCTGCGACCCGTACTTCGTCATGGACAAAGCATCCAGCCGACGTTTCAAGCTGCAATGGTAAATTAGTTGAATGTTGCCAATTGTATTTGTGATGATGATGGTTTTGTTATAACGGCTGATTTTCGGCCACGGTGGCAAAGTGCGAACAACGCAAACATTTCTAACTCAAAAACTCGATCGAAATCTGTAATTACGTGCAGGATACACTCTTGCGTGCAAGAATATACCCATTAAATGATATAAATATGGGGTGATATACTGTCCAGGATCGGTTTTGTCTAAATAAGAGGCTCGGACAAAGTCATGGCTAAAAACGGGAATATCTGATCAACCTGGCCATAAGAATATGCACAAACAGGCATTCACTCGTTCTTATCTACTTATGTCTAGTTTTGACTGTTTCGTCAGTCTAGACAATGTAGATGATGATAATGATGATCTTCTTTTTCTTCATTAGCCCGTAAAAGCCCACTTCTTGTCGTAGGAAGGATTTGCTTTAATCGCGACGCTTGGCACCGGTTCGACGTTAAGTTTCGGAATTTAGGAGCTGACTCCATAGGGGTGCCTATTGGTGACCATAATAAAAGATGAAATAACTTTTGGTAGAATTTACTATAGCGGAACGTACAATACAGTTGGCGGGCAACTAGTGACTGCTGCTAGGTTGTCCAGGTCCTTGGAGTCAGACACAGTGAGCACGGCTCACACTTGTGTCAGATGACGACTCTGCCACAGCACGCGAATATTGCCCACTACTGAATTAACATCACGTCGGGGTCATCAGTTTAGGAGCTGGCTCCATAGGGGTGCCTTCGGTTTGAAATCAATAATTTCAGCATAGTTAGACAGATTGGTTTTACAATATTATTATGTGTCACGCAACATCGCGTCGCAATCACGCAAAGTCGCAGATAACGTCATGGAGGCTGTGCGGCCTTCGTATGCCGCCACCGCTACCTAAACCGTTCCAGCGCCAACATCTACGGCCGCCATTGACTTGGCCCTGTTGAGGGCTGAGGTGGCTAAAATAAAGGCTACCGTGGACCAAATCGATCAGCAGAGGTCGCGGTCTCGCGCCCCTGATCGCAACCGGCGTCGTCCGCAGTCCAGGCGCCGTAGCGGTTCCCGCCGGCCCCGCAAGGAGAACTACTTATGATTCTACCATTACCGGTTCCGAGAAAAGGCCAACAAGTGTACGAAGCCTTGCGCGTGGAAACCAACACAACCGGAAAACTGAGCGGCGAGGTACAGTCTGAGGATCTTCAGGTCTGTACCATTTTTCCATTCAATCGTTTGTGTGTGTCAGACAGTAACTCTGGGCTTAGATTTTTAGTCGACACCGGTGCCCATGTGTCTGTTTTACCAGCCGTGAGAAAAGTTCTTGTAAATCATTGTAGTGAATATAAATTATACACAGCTAACGGTAGTGAAATCGCAACTTACGGTACCAAGACACTAGTGTTAAACTTAAACTTACGTCGACCTTATCGTTGGGAATTCGTTGTGACAGATGTCAAACAACCAATTTTGGGCGCCGATTTTTTAGCGTACCACAAATTATTAGTTGATTTAAACGCGCGTAAATTAATAGATAAAACTACAGAATTGAATGTTTCGGCATCTGTTGTCAATGTATCTCAACCTAGTGTTAAAACTATTGATGTAAATCATCCGTATCAGGATTTATTGTTAAAGTACCCGGACATCACTAAACCAGCGTCATTCCGAGAAACCGCGAAACACGATGTCGTCCACTATATCGAGACCTCTGGCCCGCCCGTGCACGCGAAAGCGCGCCCGTTGCCACCTGACAGGTATAAAAAAGTTAAAGAAGAATTTCGCATCATGCAGGAACTGGGCATCTGTCGTCCTTCAAAGAGCGCGTGGGCTAGTCCACTCCATGTAGTTCCTAAAAAGAATGGAGATATAAGACCTTGTGGGGACTATCGCCAGCTGAATGCGATAACAAAGCCCAACAGATACCCGATTCCTCGCTTGAATGATTTTACTTTTATTCTTCCGGATAAAAATATATTTTCAAAATTAGACATCAATAGAAGTTATCATTTTATACCTGTCGCACCAGGTGACGTGGAGAAAACCGCTATCATAACAACATTCGGACTTTTCGAGTTTCCTCGAATGACCTTCGGTTTGCGTGGTGCAGCACAAACCTTCCAGCGTTTTATGAACTCCATTTTACAAGGGCTTGATTTTGTCTTTTGTTATTTAGACGACTTACTTATAGCTAGTGACAACGAAGTTCAGCACAGGCAACATTTAGAAATTATTTTTAAAAGGCTTAATAAATATGGAATTTCAATTAATTTGGCAAAATGTCGTTTCGGACAAACTAAACTAGAATTTTTGGGACACGAGATTAGTACCGACGGCGTCAGGCCGTTGCAAGATAAGGTTCAGGCAATTGTGGAATTTCCGAAGACGAAAACTGTTGCAGAGCTAAGACGTTTTCTCGGTATGGTCAATTTTTATCGAGCTCATCTTCCCAATGCTACTTTATATCTAACAGAATTAAATAAATATCTTAAAAGCTCAAAGAAAAATGATAAGACTCCCATCGTCTGGACGGATAGTGCGAACGAAGCATTTACGCAATGTAAGGCAGGTCTCCCACAGGCCGCTACATTGACGTACCCTAGAGTGGGTTCCGCACTTGCTATAATGACTGATGTATCTAATACATGCGTGGGAGCAGTCTTGCGACAAAAAGAAAGAGATAGCTGGAAACCATTGGGCTATTTCTCAAAAAAATTGACCACCACCCAACAGCGATATAGCACATACGATCGCGAGTTGCTCGCTATATACTTAGCTATAAAACATTTTCGGAAATTATTTGAAGGGCAAGAAATAACCGTGTATACGGACCATAAACCTTTAACTTTTGCATTTCAAAAGGTAGGACGCGATGAAAGCGAAACGCCTCGGAGAACGAGACATTTAGCTTTCATAAGTGAGTTCACTACAAATATGAAACATATAACCGGTACGAATAACATCTTAGCTAATACCTTATCGAGCATCGAAGCCGTGACTATGCCAACTGCGTTGAATTTCGATGACATTGCAAATGAACAGCGTAGCGATAGTTATATCACGAATGTTATGTCTGGTTTAAATACCGATAGTATTTTGCTAAAGGAACTAGTTATACCTATGTTAAATAAGTCTATTTTTTGTGAGATGTCTACTGATACAGCTCGTCCGTACCTACCGGAAAAGTTTCGACGCCTAGCTTTTGATAGTTTACATAATTTGAGCCATTCTGGAATTCGTTCTACGCGAAAGATGTTAGCCAAAAAAAGTATTTCTGGCCTAGTATGAATCGTGATGTTTCTTTGTGGGCAAAAACGTGCACACAATGTCAGCGTTCTAAAGTTAACAGACATACGGTATCAAATCTGACTAAGTTTCCGGAAGTAGATCGTTTTGAGCTTGTGCACATCGATGTCGTTGGCCCTCTTGAGATCTCACCAGAGTCGTCATCTGACACAAGTGTGAGCCGTGCTCACTGTGTCTGACTCCAAGGACCTGGACAACCTAGCAGCAGTCACTAGTTGCCCGCCAACTGTAGTGTACGTTCCGCTATAATAAATTTTAGCAAAGTTATTTCATCTTTTATTATGGTCACCAATAGGCACCCCTATGGAGTCAGCTCCTAAAGGAAGCTTCGCACTTTTGGACGTTTAGCGCCTAGCGTAAGCGAGTTAGTTTTGCCGCTATCTATCTGAAGACGTATGATCATTCTGAAAAAATTTAAAGTTTATAAGTTACTGCAGCCTATGGCTCTACAACAAACTTCAAACGAAAGAGTGTGAAGGGTGATATATATATATATATATATATATATATATATATATATATATATATATATATATATATATATATATAGGTATATATATATACGTGGTAGAACCATCTTAATACTGCTGTGTTTCGTATGATGAGTGTGGAGATCCGGAGACCCTTTTTTACTGAAAACGAAGCATTCCATCTTATTCTTCAGGGGTGACAGTGCACCTGCATTTTGATTCTTAATAGAGGATAAATGTAGATGTCCATTGGCCACAGCATCCACTTAGAATCAAGTGGACTGTGTGCTCGTTTGTCACCCTTATTCTATAAAAGAAAGGGTACAGTGATTTCTGAGGACTGTAATGGAATACCTTACTGCTTGTAACTCTACTGAATATATTCCTGCGCGCACTGCAGCTTGACGGCAGACATAAGTAAGAGCGTGGTATCTACCCAGACGGACTATGAAGACAAGGAGTCCTGCCACCTAGTACAAGATGTCCTTTACGTAGTAATTTCGTGGAGTTGCGATAAAGGTGTACACTTACGCGCGTGTCCGCAGCACGAAACTGGCGAGCAGCAGCAGGCAGGTGGCGGCGAGCAGCGCACAAAGCCCCGCAAGCGCCAGCACGGCGCGCCGGCCCGCGTCCAGCTGCAGCGCGGGGCTCTCGCCCGTCACGAAGTCGCGCAGCACCACCAGCTCCGTTGTCAGCGTTGTCTGGATCGAGCGCAGCAGCGCCGCGTCACTGCGCAGCCTGAACACAATTTTTTTTTATAGAATTATTGTGACATACGAGCACACAGTCACAGTATATGATGGTTAGTAGATACTGTGACCCATAAATATCTATATTTAACCTCGATTAAGAATCAAAATTAAAATGCGTTGTCACGTTTATTAACGTGGTAGAGCTATGCCGCAGCTAGAGTACGGTTGTATTGCATTTTGATTATTAATCGAAAATATATTTATAAGTCTATGGGCTACTGCATCATCTTACCATCAGGTGGACTGTGTGCTCGTTTGTCGCTATCGTGTAAAAAAATCGGCCCGTTAAAGTTTAGACGGCTCCGTAGCTTAGCAATGAGTTACAGTGCTGAGGGCTGCATGTTCGAACTCCGTACGGAACAAGTATTTCTATGAACTATAAGCACCTAATTGTTCCGGGTCTAGATCTTTGTCCTTACGCAGTTTATGTATGTAAATTATTTTTTTTGTGGTTGTTTGTTTTTTTCTTTATTTTTATAGTATACAGGATAAAATTTTGTTTCACGGTTAGTATGCCGATCTATCATGGCAGTGCCAGAATTGAGCACCTCTGACATTATTATCAAGTGTATCATTCTGCAATGCTATTGACATTAATAATATTTCCTTTAACCAGTTCTGGAAAGCCAAAAACACTTGTGTTAATAGTGGTTCAAGACAAGTAGTCGAAAGGCAGATTCAAACCCACGACTTTCAAGTTCGCGTTTCGCAGCCTACTATTAGGCTATTTTTGGCTTTGCTATCGTGATTTAGACAACTCGTTTTTATCGATGACTCTCCCCTTCAAGTCTGAATCATCCATATTAGTATACTACTGTATGGACCTATGCTAACGTGATGATCGTGAAAACGTGAATTTATTACGATTGATTAGCAACTCACTCCTCGATGACTTCAGCTGCGACTGGCGTGTGGTCGAGGATAAAGTGCGCGCGCAGCTCGGTGAGGTCGTCGAGCGCCAGCCCGCTGCTGTCACTGGCCGGCACCACTTGGTCCACGTTGCACGTCATGCGGAACCCCACGCTGAACGTGCGCTCGATCTAAACACGCGCCTAGTTAAGCACTCTTTTTTATAGAATAAGGGTGACAAATAAGCACACGGTCCACATAATGGTAAGTGGATGCTGTGGCTCATAGATATTTACATTTATCCTCGATTAAGAACCAAAATGCAGATGCGTTGTCACCCATCAAGACTAAAATGAAATGCCTCATTAACACATATACTCTTTCACAGTCGAAGCGTTTTCTAAAACATTACTTTCGAGAGCAATTTAAGCTTTACCACTCGTTCGAAAAACACATCTGGCCTGAGAAGAACCATCAAGAAAACCCAGTGGAGAATTTAAAAATATTTTGGAATACAATATTATATTTTATAAAAAAAACTCCCAGGAGTTGTTATCAATCATGTAGATACTATTTAGTTGATAGTATAATAAACCTTTATAAACAATAAAAACACTATTAAGTAACTGATGTAACTAACTTGTGCTTGAATTTTAAGAATGTACATCACTATTTTTAGTAAAACTATTTTTGTTTTTTATGTACATACATTACATTTTCCAGTAAGGCCAAAGTTAATATTAAATAACATTAAATCTATTTTTCTTTAAATTTTTCACTAAGGGATTCCTCCGGATATACGTCGTAAATTGCTCTTTTGGCCGTTTACTGTTAATGAAAGATAGTTTCAAATGCCATTATGCTCCAGATATTAGTAAAATAAAATAATCTAGTCGTTTCTCTGTTCTAGTTCCTCGAACAATTGTTAAAGCTATTGTTGAACATTATTGAAGCTGCCCCGCTTCTACAGCTGCTCAAGCATGTCCGTCGCGCACCTAATGCGCTTCTACAACTGTTTACGAGGTACCTGGTGTTAAAAATGCAGGCTAGCCCCGTACGATTATGACAATTATCGTCAATGGCTTAAATTAAACCTGTATTCGGCAATGCAAATGTAGGTAAAGGTTCCCTTAAACTTATACACTTTAAAAGGGCGTAAAAGATTCAAACATATTGTGATCAAATAAATAGTCATATTTCTAACATTACTGTAAAAAGTATTTGCACTTTAACTGGTACTTACGAAGTCCTTGTGCTCCTCTATATATTCCAATGTATTGACGAAAATGAAGAAGACTCGGTTCATTGATGAGATCAAATAAATCTTTACTTCCGTTGTGTCCGTGGCTCCCGCTAAAAATGGTAAAATTATTGATATGAGACTTGTAAAGAAGAAATATGTTTTCACTCCTATATTATAAGATGAAGTGGCCTATCAAACCTTTAAAGTTTAAGGTATAGCGTTGAGCTATGGGACATCCTGTATAAATAGCGGCATCTCGACACCTCCACCTCAACAAAGTTACAGTACATACTTCTCCTACTATATTCCACGATTATTCTTACCTGGATCAGTAGCTAGAACCTGGAACTCGAACATGCCGTGCATAGAGGCGGTGGGCTGCATATTCAGTGTCAGCACTCCCGTTTGAGGGTTCAGCACAAATGCAGTATCCTTAACCGCCTCCAAGCTTGCATGGACTTGCATCGTCTCTTGCATTATGGTGTAAGTAATTGGAGCGCCCTCTGAGTGCGTGACCTGTGAAGCAATTCACCATTGGGATATTGGACCAAGATGCACCACCCGGCAAGTATAACTTGGCGTGCTGGGCAAGGAGGGTGGTGATAGCACAACCGAGACTTGCGATAGTAATACTAGATCTGATCACAAGTTAGTGAAATTTGGGTTTGTCGTATTTTAATGAACTCTCCATCTCGTCGTCCGTCAACCAGCAGGGAACACAACTAGTGGGTGAGGTTGTTATTTGTGGTACGTCAAATGCAGTAACGTAGCATGGGTTGTTGCCACCCAGGACCGCTAGGGTCGAGGGTGGTATCACCCCCTTGAAAAGTTGTATAAAGTGTGTGTATGCATACACACACTGTTCCAGGGGGGTGTCACCTTACTGAATTTTAGGGCATGTCAGTTAGTTAGATCTTCACTTAAAAACCAATACATATCTTACAGATTCGCTTTGAAATTTTCTAGATGCTGAAAAATTAGTTCAGATTAATGTCCGGGATGATATCGTAAGAAAATAAGTACCGTGTGGTGGCAGTGTAAGTGAAGTGGCAGATTATGACCATTTCGTACCGCGGGTAGCTACGAATATAGGAAATACAGAAGAGATTGCATGTCCTCTTGTCGTAGCAGAGATAGTGGCAAATCTAATCAACAAGTTGTATTCCCTGCTGGTATTAATATCGCAAGTCTCGGTTCTGCGATCACTATCCTTCTTTCTCAGCGTTCAAAGTAATACGTGCTAGCTGGTCAGGGACTTCCACTCGAACTTTAACCCAGTGTTGGAAAACAAATGAAACAGCGGCGGTGCGGGGGTAGCAGCGATAAGCACTCCCGCACTTAGAATATCGATCTCGCCAGCTCGCTTACGAAACCCACCGATAATAGATCATACAATAATTGTAAATACCAGATAATAAATTGTATTGTTAACAGTCCACAGTGTCTTAATCAAAGCCTCTAGTGACCATAATTCCCAGCAAAAATTGTTACAGGCGAAAATTGTGATGTAAAGGAGATACTTACTTGCAGTGTCAGGAGTTCTCTGTTGATCGAATCTAGAGTAGAAATACCTGCGGTGTACAGCTCTCTAACGAAGTACGGTCGAGGATTGGCTTCTCTGACCTAAAAGCAGCCAAGGATATGTAAGAAAGCTTTTTAATAAAGACAAACCCTTGCACGCAATGTTTGATCGTTTGGTTTCAATGAGTTACAAATCAATGAATCGATCATCGGTACCTGGAAGGTTTCCAGGTACGCAAAAATAATCAATATCTAACCCGGTGACGAGGTTTAGCCAGAGTTGGGTAAAATCTGGTACTTCGGTTGCCGATATACCTGCAAAGTAAGTAAGTTGTGTAATAAGTAAGTAACTTGCCCAGCAATGTACTTACTTATTTTGCAGGTGGATCGGCAAAAGAACCATGTCCAACAACGAACAATTGATGGAGAACATAAAGAAGAAGAAGATGAAGACTCTGATAGTGAGCGAAAAGCAGAACGTAAATTTTTGATGTATATTTAATAATAATAATAATAATATAATTTATTTAGTTCCAAACATACACACAAATTAACATAACATAATTATTTAATGGAATGAACTAAAAAGTCGTCTACTCAGCAGAAATGTTATAGAAACCACATAGTGGTTTGTAGCATGTGGAACTACAACTACTGATTTTCAGTAAACGCCAGAGACATAGGTGGAATAGAATAAACTTATTACACTAATCACAGGTTCCAACACTTCTATATATAAAAAACACACTTTAATCAATTTAAAAATAAAAATAAAACTGTTAGCATTTAGGAAAAGGGCACAACAAAAAGTAAGCCAACAAAAGGCATGTGCAAGGCACAAGACACACAATTAAATTATTTGACAAGATACAAAAGCAAAATAAATAAATGTACAAATAAGCAAATATTCGTTAGTTTTATAATATATAGACACGCTATATATAAGAAAAATGTGATACATCGACACAGAATTCTACTAACTTTGCAAATTGAAAAGGCATGTTCTTTTAGTTTTATTTAAAAAAAAACGAATTGTTTTGCTGCTGAAGAGGCAGTATATTATTCCAACACTGTGGCAGCATACCGAAAGCTACCACGAAACGGGGCCGTTCTGTGTCTTGGGTACAATAATCGAACAGTTTCCCGCGAGAGATGTTCCGAGAAACTGAGCCCTTCATATAAGTATTTCGGTTGTTGGTTTTGTAATATTTTATAAAGTAAACAACTGTATACTAACCCCATAATGAGAGGAGGCCTGTGGGGGACGTATATAGGCTTACTTTACATGTATGAATATCAACAAAAAGATATACGAGATTTCATATTAATAAGTTTGCCCTGATTTAAAAACGGTGTGACATGGCCTCTACGAGGAATTCGATAGCAGAACCTAGCGCATGCATTTTGTACTCGTTGTATAACAAGTTTTGTTCGCGCAAGCAAGCACTCTCCCATGACAATATCAGCATAATTTAGCTTCGAAAGTATTAATGACTCGCAAAGTTGAACCCTTAATTCTTCTTCCGTTTACTATAATACTTTTAATTTATAAAAACAATTTTTCACTGTATGCATAACCATGATTTTGAAACCTTAGTCTACTGTCCATAATTATACCCAAGTTACGAATTTCAGATACTTGTTCAATATGGTCACTACCAACAATAATTTTGGGCTTATGAGCATTCGTTCGTTCTATTAATTTCTTTGACCCCAAAAATCATGAACTTGGTTTTATTTGGATTTAAGATGAGTTCATTATTACCCGCCCATTCGGCGATCATATTTAACTCCTGATTTATATTGTTCTAGTTATTTATGCTAGTGCTTAAGTGTTGTCTGAAATATATATGGTCTACGGCGGTCACCTCAGAGTGTGACAGCAAAGTCTACTAATTAGAATAATAATAATAATTATTGTTTTATTTTTACTTGACGTTGTGATTATTAATTGAATTGAATTTATAGAATGTTCAAATAGCTTATCTAAAATTGTATACATACATACAATTTAGTAATGTAACTTAATAATGAAATCAAATATTGTACTTTAATAATATTATTTAATAAGGTAATTTAATATTTTATAATTGCTACGCCCAGACGGGGTTCAAATGCGGACTATTTTTTAAAACACATCTATTGTTACCATTTGATTGCAAAGATAATGGTTATGATGATTATGATTATGAAGTCTCGCCTCTAGTTTCATCTTGGAATTAAACATAAATTCCACAATGATTCACGATGATCGAATTAAAATAATGTTATTGCATTAATTTATAAAAAAGTCACCGCTAAAGCAGTTTTGTTTTATTTTCCAGGACTTAGCATAAGTTTGGCTTTTCAGCCCCAGATTGTAAGAATCTTCGGTCGGTTGTCTTCAGTCATGAAATCTGTTCTGAAATTTAGTGCGAAAGCATCACGGACAGAGCAGATTTGAATCCAGTACTTACTGTAACGGTAACGAGCAGCGTGGAACCGGGAAGTGCGGCGCCTCCAGTGAGAGCGTTGGAAGCGGCAACCAGCAGACTGTGCTCCGCACTCTCGTTGCGGTCCAGCTGCTTGACGACGCTTAAAATGTTTTTCGTTTCGTCCAAGTAGAAGTGGCCTCCCTGGTTACCGTCTACAAAGAGATGAATAGATTAGGTAGATACAGAATACCACGGTTTCATGAGTGCAATATTAGGGTCGATTCGCATCGACACCGAGTCGAGGAGACGCGGAGTGTCAAATCCTTAACGACTAAAGGGAGATCGCACGATAATAGATAGTGGTGGGTTTACATTTTATTTCAATTTCATTCAATTAATTTAAAGTTTATAATTACATTGATTTTTCGCGTGAGCAACCTCATCCCTAAATGTTTGTGCTGTGGCGCACAACTTTGCATGTATACGTACAAAACTATAAATATGTTTTTTTCAAGTCACGCTGCGGTATACGTTATGAAAATTTAATGTATTGTGGCGCTACTTTGATGCACCATAGGAATTTGCCTGTAAAATAGACGTCCAAAGACGTTTTGCGGAAATAAATATAACAATCAGAGGATGTCTTACGACGTCGTGCCTTTTCATAATTCTATCAACACGACGTTGTAAGACGTTGTTCACGCGAACGTGTTAACTTGACACAGTTAAATTAAATTTAGTCACGAAAAACCTCCATGGTGAAAGATAGATCCTCTTATAGGGGAAAGAACTTTCTTGTAATAAGAAAAAAGGCGTTATTTAAAAAAATATTTTCTCAAGCCGCTGTATTTTGCTTTTGGTAAATTTAACCCCGATCGTCTGATAAGTGATAAAGCATTATAAAAAGATAAAGAACCTTATCATCTTACCAACAATCCTGTAGTAGATATCGAGGCAGTCATCCACGCAGCGATAGTTCTTGGGATCTTCGGCTAAAGGCAATTGGTGACTCTCTTCTAGGCCTCCTTCTTTTTCTAAAAATGATTTATGAATTGAAAATTACCGAATATACGGGAATATCTTTATATACATATCCAATTACTTTGTACGTATCACGTAACTTCATATAATCCTAGCCTGGAATTTAGGGAATATGTAAAAAAATATTCAAAGTATTTAAAAGAGTGTGCTCTACAGCCAAATATTTGCATTTGAGCTACAAAATTAGTAGTAATACCAGTTACTTGACTTCAGTAATTTATTCTTGGGGCGATTTATACACTTCTACAAACATAAAATTGCAGAAAATCATAGACTTCTATATATACAAGTGTATATACATAAGAGGTCAGTGCAGAAAATACACAAAATTTTACCTGTGTAAAGTTCAATAATTTTATTAAACAAAGTTTGTATAATACACACACATATGTATATATAAAATTGATCTATCAATAAATGTTACTAATTGGATAAGTATTATTATAATTTCGATAGTTTTAATGGATTTATATATTTAGTTGTTGTTATTTTTTTAGTACCGAAAGATAAATTAGTAGTATTAATGATGGATCAATTTCATATTATTTAGTGTAAAATATACTATATTAAAAATACCAATAAAAATTGCAAAATATCATTGTCATATAGCTTCTATTCCGTGTAGGTATCTGTTACACCCTATTTTTTAAACGGTTAAAAATCATCCTGTATATACGAGTATATATTCATAACAAAAACTTTAACCGTGTAGTGGCGGTATATATTATCCATTGCCCCATATCATCCTGTGAGAGTCTTAAGAGGCGACAGAAGGAAATTAAAGCAAATAGATCGGTAGCAGCATCTTCATCATAATAAAAAAAACTGCAGTGGCCAATCCTCATGCAAACCGTGTTAACTATGGTAAACATTGCCCTTATAAAGCAATCTATTGGGGAAGCATATGTTCAGGAATGAATGGAAGATTTAAACTTTATTTGCTCATGTATAAAAAGGTCGCAAAGAACCCTCTGTCAGTCTACCTTTAAGGAAATGAGAAAAAATATACCGGGTATACGACAGGCCATGCAGAAAGTTTTGCGAAAATAAGCTTTTTTGCATTAAACTCTGGTCAGTTACAAATTATGTTAAATTTTTACACGGTAGAGCCACGCTGTAGCTATATTATGGTTGTAGCACGAATGGGTCGGCTCGACCGGGGAAGGACCACGCTCCCACAAAATATCAACGTAAAACAGCAGCTTAATACTGCTGTGTTTCGTATGGTGATTGTAGCAAGCCGGAGACCATTTTTTACTGGAAATGAGACATTCCATCTTAGTCCTCGGGGGTGACAACGCAACTGCGTTTTGATATCTACGGGCCACAGCCTCAGACAAAATAAAAAGTCTATTTTGTCTGTGGCCACAACATTCACTTACCATCAGGCGGTCTGTGTGCTCGTTTGTCAACCTTATTCTATAAAAAAAAATACGTGTGGCACTCGGTGACTGCCGCGGTAAAGCTATTGCATAGCATTTTTTACCAACTTATGCAATTATAATTATTTATTTATTTTATTTATGCAGTTAAGTCTTTGATATTAAATCAAGTTACACTTTTTGTGTGACCGATAAGAAAACAATTTTTTTTCTCTTATTGAATAAATGAGAAGTTAATATTGTTTAAAATATTTTTAATATCCTACAATACATGTATGTTATTCAGGAATTTTTATCATTGAGTTAGCAGCTAGTGTACACGCATACGTCTAGTCGCACGCACACAAACACCGTGCCGAACTCTGCCGAGTGCCGAAGTCTGCCGAACTGAAACGACGTTAGACGATGCACGGCTTTCAACGCCACACCTCCGTGCCCGTCGGAGTGGGGAGCGTGAGGTTTTTCGTTACGGAATTTCTGGATTCGGTCCCCGCGCTCAAGGCCCGCGATAGAAGCTATGCAATAGCTTAAAATATGTAATGATACAAATGTTCTAAACCATCCACATTATATAAACTATTTGAATTTAATTGAACGTTCTTTAATAGTGATAGATTTCGGAAAGAAGGAGCCAAATGAGCTGGATACTGCTGTGTTTTGCATGCTGAAGACTGCCTGTATTGTGAGACTCACACGCTCAACTATAGCTTCTTTTTCGGACTGGATTTGATCCTGACTGGCCCGAGGATAAAAACTATCCTATCCCTAAGTTGGACCAAACTGCACACAGTGTGCAAAATTACATTGAAAACAGTTCATTAGTTTAAGAGTTCATCGTGGACAAGCAATGCGACACGTAATTTTTACATATAAAGATATATAAAAGTAATGACGGCTCGGTAGCATTGCTTAAGTATTAACAGCCTACATAAATAATGTTTGTATGCCATGTATTTGAAATGCCTACAAGGTACAGGAGTAATACCTTGGGAGTATCAATTTTATAAAAAGAAAAAAAAAGCGATGTTCTTACCGAAGAAAGCGGCGCTCGCTGTATTTACGGGGAAAACCGGATCGCCTTGTGTTGGCACAAAGACAATGTTCAGTGTAGAGTCAGTGTACAAGGGCCCTGGTTCAGTGCCACTATCCGTTGCGCGTATAGTCACCTTGTGAGAAAATTAAGCGTTTAATATAAAGTAAATAACGGATCCAAATAAGATGTGCTGTAGTCCTCGACTTCTGATGTTTTTGACTAAATGCTCAAGTACAAATAGAAGTAGGGAGTAGAGTAAAGTAAGTAGAGCCACGCTGTAGCTATATTATGGTTGTAGCACGAATGGGTCGGCTCGACCGGGGAAGAACCACGCTCTCACAGAATACCAGCGTAAAACTGCAGCTTAATACTGCTGTGTTTCGTATGGTGATTGTAAAGATCCGGAGACCATTTTTTACTGGAAACGAGGCATTCCATTTTAGTCCTCAAGGGTGACAACGCATTTGCGTTTTGATTCTTAATCGAGGATAAACATAGATGTATATTGGCCACAGCATCCACTTACCATCAGGTGGACTGTGTGCTCTCTTGTCACCCTTATTCCATAAAAAAAGAATGTCGTCTAATCACGTACATAAAAAAAATTATCCCTTATTTTTCCACTCTTAGGGTAGGTTTTTTTCTTTAAATTTATATGTGGTTTTACAACTGACCTCTGTATAGTTTTAGATAAATTTAAAGCAAAAATTGCAGGTATTAGCTTAAATAAAAATTATCAGAATTATGTATTGCGTGCACACAAAAAAAAACAATAATGACCACTTACATTAAATTCCCTGATGTCTTCAGTGAAAAGCTGCTTCAGCATGAGGACTCCTATATTCTCTCCGTCGTTACTGACTTGGAAATGCTCCTGAGCATCCACTGGTATGAAAGAGAACTGCGTAAGGATGAGTGTTCTAATAAGCCGTTTTAAACCGGTAAATTCGACCAACAAAAGCAACCAAACAAATCCAAATTTTCAGTACATCGTACATATTTCAATGGTTATGGCAGAATTATCAGGGCTAACGTGCTAGATATAAGATACCGGTATTTACCCCATCACTTTTATTCTTGTTTATTATGAATAATCGTTGAATAAAACTATTATATACGGATTTTATCGAGTTTAATTACTTTAATTTATTTTTATTATTATCCCGACGTTTCGGGTGCTTTACAGCACCCATGGTCACGGGGGGACTGAGATGTTTGACGTCCCTTTGTCATAGTTAGTCCGGCTACCTTCAGTTTTTTTTTATTTTTTTTACTATGACATTGACATAACTATGACATTGGGACGTCAAACATCTCAGTCCCCCCCCCGTGACCATGGGTGCTGTAAAGCACCCGAAACGTCGGGATAATAATAAAAATAAATTAAAGTAATTAAACGCGATAAAATCCGTAAATAATAGTTTTATTCAATGTGTAGTGTTCGCGTAAATTTAAGAAATCATTATGAATAATCGTCTTTTATCATCTTCCTTCTATCTTTCTATACAATCTCCCGTGCAAAAAATCAGAAAGAACGAAGAACAAAGAATCAAAAAGATCAGAAAGAACGTCTTGTACGTGGTAGAGCCTAGTATATTATAGTTGGTTGCGCGGAAAACCATTCGCGTTTTTTATTTTTGACGGTAGGAACTTGTAGAATCATTATTTCCTTTCCAAACAATATCATTCGTACCCTCCTATCGACACATCGGGGTGGTGGGGTGGGAGGGGAAAGAAGACGATTCTAGAACATCGCGTAATCACCCGAGCCGAGGATATATAAGACACGCGCGACCGATGCGCGAGCCTCTTCTCCCGCCGCAGTCGTCGTTGAACTACAACCTCCTCTTCCCGCGCGCTCGTTTGGAAACACCTCACTAGTGGAAACCGCTTTGGCCTGAAAGCAGTCGAGCTCCAGGAACCCGCCTCACCTCGTGTGAGATATCGTCGCGCATCGCCTCTCTCCGGAGTGTTCCAGAAGTCGCTATAGTGATCGACAGGAAGAAGAAACCCCGGTGAGTCAATATTCCTTAATTATACCTGCTTGCTAATAGTTTAACCCGCTCCAATCTGTGTTTTTTTCCTAGTCAAGCAGGATTCCTTTCATCGATTCGACAAGTAATAGTTTAGTTTAGGGAAGAGCGAGTGCATTGTACCGCATGCTATAGTAGTCGCTTGACGTAAGCGTAGAAGCAATCGCATATACAGTCCACTTTAGTTAATATCTCGCGTAATAGGTTTGAGGTTTGACCGGGGAACTAGATTTTCGGCAGCCTTAAACACGTGGCTCCACCATTTTATGGTCACTTCGGCAGGATCTGGATTGGTGTTTAGTGGTTATCCAACCATTTTCTGGTCGAATTATTAAATTAATTGTTTAGATAACGCACTCTAATTTATAGAATAGACTTAAATAGTGTTCGTTTAAATTAAAATTTTGATTTGTTACTCGCAAACAGAATTATTCATTTAATAGCGCTCGTATTTGGTTAAATTTAAAGCTTATTAAATAATTGAAACGGCGTGATAGCAACCGTTTGATACGCTTACCCCACAATTTTATAAAATTATTAGGTTTAGCAAACGACGCGTAGCCTTGACTGCATCGGGCGCTCGATCTGATTACGTAATACGGCACGCCGAGTATTCATCCTACGTCGTTTATGCGTGTGAGATTAATTGTGATTAATATAACTTTATTATAATAATTTAAAATGGCAGTTAGTGGAAGTGAAATCAAAATTAAAACGCTTTATGCCAAGAGGGACATACTCTTTTCGCGTATGCAGAATATAAGTGATTATATAAAGAACATTCATATAGAGGCAGTACGGGAGGCCTTTTTAAATGAAATCGAAACGATAGATAATTTGCGGACAGATTACGAAAGAATATTAGATCAAATTAATCATTCGGAACTACAAACCGACCCGAAATACATAGTGAACTACCAACCGCTGCTGGCATTCGAAGATATGTTGTGTCGCGTGAAGAGAACCGCAAAATTGCTACAATCTCAAGGTGAAGCGAAGCCTGAAATGCAGGTACGCCCTCGTGACTCAATTAGGTTACCGCCAATAGATATTCCGGTATTCAATGGTGATATTAAGACGTGGCCCTTCTTCTTCAGTAGTTTTCAAAACAATATACACAACAACCCATCGTTATCGGACGCTGAAAAATTATATTACTTAATTAGTAAACTTAGTGGCAGAGCACAGTCGATCTGCTCGGGTTTTACACCTACAGCAAACAATTACGTATTAATATTTGAAACGCTTAAAACTAAATATGAAGATAGGAGAATGTTAGCTTCCGAATATTTGAACCAGATATTCGATCTTAAACCTATATCATCCGCGAACATCAACGGCTTAGAGCAGTTTCTCGATAAATTTGTGGCATCGGTGGCTGCACTTAAGAATTTGAAATTTAATGACCTCATGGACGTGGTGTTTCTCCATATAGCATTAAAGAAATTAGACTCCGACACCGTGCGTGCGTTTGAAATGGAGCATCGTAGCTCGGAGATGCCTTCCTTTCATTCATTAGCATCGTTCGTGCGAGATCAAATAAAGGTGATGCAGCGCTCACCGAACGTTAAGCAGGAGATTAAAAGGTGCGTCGACCGTAGACAGACTCAACCATCTAAAATAGCAGGGTCGTTAACTTACGTAACCGCTACGCCGACATCGCTCCAGCATACTTGTATAGTATGTAAAGATAAACACGGTAATTTATATAACTGTGCGACTTTTCGTAAATATTCACCAAGCGAACGTTATAAGTTAGTAAAAACAAACAACCTATGTTTGAACTGCTTAAGCGATAAGCATTTAGTTGCAAAATGCAATTCGAGTTCCGTATGTAGCAAGTGCGCCAGGAAAAATCACACGCTATTACATTTTGAAAATAGCAACATAGCGGCGTCAAGTAAGGCGAATAAGGAATTCACCCCTACTAAGGTCAACGATTCTAGCGGTCGACCTGATGATGTCGCTCTGTGCTCATTGGCAAATATGGGAGCACAACCTCCTTCAACCGTGTTACTGGGTACGGCGCGTATTTTGGTTAGGGATTCGCGTGGAAACAAACAAAGCGTCCGTGCACTGCTGGACAGCGGAGCCCAAAATAGCTTTATAACACGACAATGTTGTCAGCGCTTAGGCTTAGTAATAAATAGGTCACTTTCATGTCCTGTAGTTAAAGGCATCGGAGGTACTAGTAAAGCGACACAGGGATATATAAATTTAAAATTTTATTCTCGGATAGATCGTAACGTTAACTTTGATATAAATGCACTAGTAGTAGATAGGGTCACTGAACGGTTGCCAACCGTTTCGGTTGACACCTCGGCAATGATTGAATTTAAAAATTTGACTCTAGCAGACGACACTTACGCCGTTCCTGGAAACATAGACATGCTCATTGGGGCATCGCTTTTCCCTCATCTTTTGTTAAACAATAAGGTCAGGGGCAACTCCTCGCATACCGCGCCTTACGCACTGGAAACCGTATTGGGCTATGTGATCCTTGGCTCCGCCCCTATCCTAGATAGTATTTCGGCAGCCTCTTATTGTGGTATGGCTGTCGAACCGCTCGAGTCGTTAGTCCGCAAATTTTGGGAGATGGAGGAGGTGAACGTCCCACCCATAGCTAGTCCAGATGACAGGATATGCGAGGAAATTTACGTCCGCACGACCGTTCGTGATCGCGACGGTAGATATAGTGTAGCGCTACCCTTTAAGGGAGATGTTTTATCTCTCGGCGATTCGCGTCAAATGGCGGAAAAACGTTTCTACAGCTTGGAGCGTAGGATGCTCGCTTCGCCCCAGTTAAAGGAAGCTTACGACGGCGTCATTAACGAATATATAAGAGAAGGTTACATATCACTTGTGGCTTCGAAATTAGATAACTACGAAGACACACCGTCGTATTTTATACCACACCACGGAGTCATTAGAGAGGACAAACTTACATCTAAATTACGTGTAGTGCTCGACGCTAGTGCTAAAACTAGCACTCACCTGTCGCTTAACGATATCCTCTATAGTGGGCAAAATTTACAGGGCAGTTTATTTGATATAATAGTCAATTTTCGTTTGTTTAGTATAGCACTATCCGCCGATATTCGCCAAATGTTTCTTTGCATAGGGGTCCGTGAATGCGACCGTAGATTCCAGCGCATTTTATATCGTTTCCACCCAAAGGAACCTCTAATGGTGTTAGAATTTAACCGCGTTTGTTTTGGTTTAAAGTCGAGCCCATTTCATGCGTTACGCACGGTGAGACAGCTCGCTCACGATGAAGGTCCCTCTTATCCTAAAGCTAAGAGGGCAATTGAGAGCGGATTATATATGGATGATTTTGTGTATTCGGTCGATAGCGTGGAGGAGGCCACCCTAACCACCGCCGAGGTTATAAGGCTCATGAAATCGGGTCAATTCGATCTTGTGAAGTGGACTAGTAATTCGCGTCCGGTTTTAGATACAATCCCACTATCACACCGTCTTTCGGCGATAAAGGAATTCGACGATTCCGATACACACAAGGTGCTCGGTCTGTGTTGGTCACCAGAGTCCGACGTGTTTAGCCTTAAGGTAAATCCGCCCGTAGAGAAATGCACAAAGCGCACAATACTGTCATGCGTTGCTAGATTATGGGACGTCATGGGTTTCGTAGCTCCGGTGGTATTATACGCTAAGCTTTTGATTAAACAACTTTGGTTATTTGAATGCGATTGGGATGACTCGCCGCCTGACAGCATTGTTCGATTGTGGCAGCGCTTTAGAGAGGAACTTCCTTTACTAAGAGAAATTAAAATACCGCGTCATATAAATGTCGATAGAAATAGCAGCATAACGGTTGTTGGATTTGCAGACGCCAGCGAGAAGGCTTACGGGGGCGTTGTATATTTCCATGTCCAGAATAATGGTAGAAATTCGATTAGCCTCATTAGTTCTAAGTCGAGAGTCTCCCCCCGTAAGGTTGTCTCTCTGGCGCGCTTAGAGCTTTGCGCAATATTAGTACTCACCAAGCTTATTACCACAGTTATCGGCGCATGTAGGGATAGAGTTCACATAGAAAGAATATTTGCCTTTTCCGACTCCACCGTCGCCTTATGTTGGGTTCATTCTTCACCCCACCGTTGGGATACGTTTGTCGCGAACCGAGTGGCCAAGATCCAAGACGAGTTAGAAACGCGGAACTTTTATCACGTGTCCGGTAAGGAAAACCCTGCCGATTGTCTATCCCGGGGACTCACCCCGATGCAAATAATGGACCACCCGCTTTGGTTCCATGGACCTTCTTGGGTTTACTTGGATCCCTCACAATGGCCAATAACCGATTTCGAACCTTCGTCAGTGTCACAACCGCCGGAAGAGAAGAGACACGCTCTAGTGGCGAACGTTTCGAGCGAGGTTTCTCCAATCATTGCTCTGGCGAACCGCTTGTCCTCTTGGTCGAAATTATTGCGTAGCGTAATTTACGTTTGTCGATTCGCGAAGCTTTTACCGCGACGTCCGTATGTCTTAGCATCCGATTACAACTATGCCGAGTCGCTAGTATTACGTGAACTTCAACGTGCGCACTTCTCTGAAGAAATTACAAGATTACAATCGAATAGAGCTTGTAGTCGCGCCTTTCAACGCCTTAAGCCATTTTTACAGGATGGGATTGTAAGGGTAGGTGGACGCTTGTCCAACTCGCAATTGAGTTTCGACCAACGGCACCCTATAGTTTTACCGCGTAAAGACCATATCATGAACTTATTAGTCGATTATCATCATAAATTGAACTCGCACGCTGGCCCCGATTTATTGATGTCGATCTTGCGTCAGAATTATTGGATTCTTTCTGCACGTAGTTTAATACGCAATCGGGTGCACAGATGTATAGCTTGCTTTCGGGCACGCCCCAAGCCGTCATTTCCGGAAATGGCGGAACTTAGATCTTGTAGAGTGATACAATCGGTAAAGCCCTTCACGCACACCGGGTCTGATTTTGCTGGTCCGTTTAAGGTCACGCTCACTCGCGGGCGTGGTATAAGATCCACAAAGGCTTACGTCTGCATTTTCGTATGTCTAACTACTCGAGCAGTGCATATAGAACTCGTTGGTGATCTAAGCACAGCAGGCTTTATGGGTGCATTTAAAAGATTTCTATCGCGCAGAGGCCCTGTAAGTAAATTATATTCGGATAACGGTACGAACTACGTCGGTGCAAAACGTATTCTATCGGAACTACACGAGCTCTTAGCTAGCAAGTATTATAATTCGGAGTTCGCTCACATTCTAGCCGAGAACCGCATTGAGTGGTCTCTGAACGTCCCAGCCGCGAGTCATTTTGGGGGCAATTGGGAGACTAATATTAAAAGTCTAAAGAGCCACTTATACCGAGTAATAGGAGATCAAATTTTGTCCTTCGAAGAGCTAAGTACGGTGCTCGCTCAAATTGAATGCGTAATGAATAGCCGCCCACTTTGTCGGACGTTATCTAGTGACCCCTCGGAACCGCTGGCTCTAACTCCAGCACATTTTTTGACTTTAACGCCTCTAAGGTATCTGCCCGCCGCGGATATGGATGAGAACAGACTTAGCATTTCCACACGCCACAAATTATTAGATCGGTTAGTGCAATCGTTTTGGAAACGATGGAGGATGGAATACTTGCATACTTTGCAGTCTCGGCAAAAATGGAACACAGCGACAGAGCCTTTAGCTGTAGGAACCGTAGTTGTGCTCACTAAGGAGAATACGCCGCCTCTCCACTGGCCGTTAGGAATCGTCGAGGAGGTCTTTCCCGGTTCCGACGGAGTAATTAGGATAGCTCGCGTTAAGACCACGGTTGGGTCTTACCTACGTCCTGTTATCCGTTTGTGCCCCTTGCCTCTTCCATAATTTAAATTAGCTTTCTAGACTGAAATTGTAGTTTAATTTAGGTAATCTTAGCGTTAGTTAGTTATTTGTTAGTCGATCTTAGCTCTAGTTGTTTAGTTATTTTTTTTTTGAAGGAAATCCTTCAAGGGCGGGGGGAGATGGTTGCGCGGAAAACCATTCGCGTTTTTTATTTTTGACGGTAGGAACTTGTAGAATCATTATTTCCTTTCCAAACAATATCATTCGTACCCTCCTATCGACACATCGGGGTGGTGGGGTGGGAGGGGAAAGAAGACGATTCTAGAACATCGCGTAATCACCCGAGCCGAGGATATATAAGACACGCGCGACCGATGCGCGAGCCTCTTCTCCCGCCGCAGTCGTCGTTGAACTACAACCTCCTCTTCCCGCGCGCTCGTTTGGAAACACCTCACTAGTGGAAACCGCTTTGGCCTGAAAGCAGTCGAGCTCCAGGAACCCGCCTCACCTCGTGTGAGATATCGTCGCGCATCGCCTCTCTCCGGAGTGTTCCAGAAGTCACTATAGTGATCGACAGGAAGAAGAAACCCCGGTGAGTCAATATTCCTTAATTATACCTGCTTGCTAATAGTTTAACCCGCTCCAATCTGTGTTTTTTTCCTAGTCAAGCAGGATTCCTTTCATCGATTCGACAAGTAATAGTTTAGTTTAGGGAAGAGCGAGTGCATTGTACCGCATGCTATAGTAGTCGCTTGACGTAAGCGTAGAAGCAATCGCATATACAGTCCACTTTAGTTAATATCTCGCGTAATAGGTTTGAGGTTTGACCGGGGAACTAGATTTTCGGCAGCCTTAAACACGTGGCTCCACCAATAGTTGTAGCACGAATGGGTCGGTTCAACCGGGGCAGGACCACGCTCTCACAGAATATCAGCGTAATGCTGCTGTGTTTCGTATAGGGGAGTGTAGAGAACCGGTGACCCTTTTTACTGGAATCGAGGCATTCCATCTTAGTCCTCAGGGGTAACAACGCATTTGCATCTTGATTCTCAATTGAGGATAAATGTTGGTGGTTGGTGGGGTTGGTGGATAAACGTTGGTGGGCCACAGCATCCACTTACCATCAGATGGACTGTGTGCTCGTTAGTTACCCAATAGTATAAATAAAATATTTATTTTGCCAAATAGTCAAAACGCCATATTACACATTTTAAACGTTAATAAAATCCTGCCGAACGTGACGAAAAGGGGTCGCACTCAGCATTTGGCATAGCGAACGACAAACGCTGTTTTTCAATGTGGCCCGTTTCGATATTTCAAGTAATTCAAGCAGTATTTTAAACCAAATGTAACAGTAAATAGCAAAATAATGTAGAGTCTATATAAATTGTGATATAATTGTTAAGCTTAAAATCTAAACAACAAAAAAGGCAGCGATGGAACCTTGAGGCGATACCCCGACCAAAACCTTGCGATAGTGTGTTTTTCAAAGACTATTATGTCATAAGTTATGAGAAATAAACTATATCTAAAATCAAATTATTAATGTTCGATATCCTATCATCACATTCCACGTTCTAATTTGTTTTTATGTGTTATAAATACATTTAAAATCAACTTTTAAAAAATGACTAAAATTATTGATTACATGCATCTGTTGCTAAAGGCAACGCTCTAATCATTTGAGGATCACACTAATGGATAGATAATTTAAAAATCTTTACTGTCCACGTTTTACCTAATTTCTTAAGTTTGATTTTCTTTTTTAATTGAAATAATTCCAAAAATTTGGGCGTATTTCTTACGCGTTATATTGTAGTGAGAGCGCGTGGATTGTATAGGGCCGGACGCTCAAGGTCGTTCGTAAATAGCTATGGATATTAAAAAAAGTTAAAAATCACACACACAGAAAACAGTAAAACTACACATCTGGTATTTATTATAATCATAATCGTAAATCACTTGTTATTTCGCCTAACAAGGCGTGCCTTCCTACAGGACGCCGTCTAAGTATAAAGGTAACCCTTTACAAATACAAGGATCTATTTTTAATAAGTACTGACCGTCTCCGAAAATTGAAAATGTGACTATTCCAGCGTGAAGACCGTCCTCGTCTGTCGCTGCTATACGATCCAGGAACTCGCCGTTCACCTTGACTAGGAGACCGTTGACTACCGCCCGTTCCTATAAAGGTTAGATTAATTTCAAAATCTAATTTATAATAATAACAAAATCCATGTTAAAAATTAAATTTTAAAAACCATACATTGTTCGGCATATTAGTAGAAAATCGCAAGGACAGGACGAGAGCAAAAAATTGACTAAAAGAAAATCCAAAACAGATAACTAGTACAGATGTGCTTGAAAGAATCCATTATTTTATTTATTAATATATTTGTTTAATTAGGGATTAAAATGGCCTTCATTTTGTGATTTATTGGTGTACTAGCTGTTCCCCGCGTGTGTACTACGCCCACGTGTAATTTAGGGTTTTAATTTTTTTGCATGGAATCCTAATTTTTTTTCTGTAATAAAAGTATTCTACGTTACTTCTTATAACATAACCTAACTGCCAGTAAAAGTTTCGTCAAAATCGGTCCAGGCGCTTAGGAAATTAGGCGGAACAAACACACAGGTAGACAAATTTTTTAATAATTGTGTTTTTATTATAAGTATCGTATATACTTTCATATGAATTTAGTAAAAAGCTATTATTTTGAAATCACAAACATACACTCAAAATTTATTTATTAGTATATAGATTTGTATTAATATAGATTTTACTCTTTATGTACCTACTATTTTGAACACTGGAAGAGACGAAGAGATTATGTCATTTTTATTATGAAAAGTTGGTGGAAGAAGTGCGTACTACATTGCCATATTCTATTATCGTCCCGAAAGGGTGGATAAAGGACTGCAATATGGTAACGGTATCTATCCATTACAAGTAAGGATTGTCACTGCAATGCCATATTCTATTATCGTCCCCATCGGGTGGATAAAAGACTGCAATAGGATAATGGTATCTATCGATTACAAATAAGGATTGTCACTGCAGTTCTATATTCTATTATCGTGGCGATAGGGTGGATAAAAGACTGCAATAGGATAACGGTATCTATCGTTTACAAATAAGGATTGTCAATGCAGTGCTATATTCTATTATCGTCGCGATAGGGTGTATAAAAGACTGCAACAGGATAACGGTATCTATTAATTACAAATAAGGATTGTCAATGCAGTGCTATATTCTATTGTCGTTGCGATAGGGTGGATAAAGGATTGCAACAGGATAACGGTATCTATCGTATTACAAATAAGGATTGTCAATGCAGTGCTATATTCTATTGTCGTTGCGATAGGGTGGATAAAAGACTGCAACAGGATAACGGTATCTATGTAATTACAAATAAGGATTGTCAATGCAGTGCTATATTCTATTATCGTTGCGATAGGGTGGATAAAAGACTGCAACAGGATAACGGTATCTATTAATTACAAATAAGGATTGTCAATGCAGTGCTATATTCTATTGTCGTCGCGATAGAGTGGATAAAAGACTGCAACAGGATAACGGTAACTATGTAATTACAAATAAGGATTGTCAATGCAGTGCTATATTCTATTGTCGTCGCGATAGAGTGGATAAAAGACTGCAACAGGATAACGGTATCTATTAATTACAAATAAGGATTGTCACTACAGTGCTATATTCTATTATCGTTGCGATAGGGTGGATAAAAGACTGAAACAGGATAACGGTATCTCATCATCATCATCATCATCACAGCCCTTCACAAGTCCACTGCTGAACATAGGCCTCCCCCAAGTAATGCCACAAAGCACGGTCCTGAGCCACCTGCATATCGACTTCCTGCATATTTAAGGTCGTCACTCCATCTAGTGGGGGGTCGCCCTACACTACGCCTACCGGTACGAGGCTGCCACTCGAGAACCTTTCTTCCCCATCGGTTATCGGTTCTTCGAGCTATATGGCCGGCCCATTGCCACTTCAGCTTACTAATCCGTTATCTATTAACGGTATCTATTAATTACAAATAAGGATTGTCACTACAGTGCTATATTCTATTATCGTTGCGATAGAGTGGATAAAAGACTGCAATAGGATAACGTTATCTATCGATTACAAATAAAGATTGTCAATGCAGTGCTATATTCTATTATCTTCGCGATAGGGTGGATAAAAACTGCAACAGGATAACGGTATCTATCGACTACAAATGAGGATTGTCACTGAAGTTCTATATTCTATTATCGTGGCGATAGGGTGAATAAAAAACTGCAACAGGATAACGGTACCTATTCATCACAAATAAGGATTATTACTGCAGTGCCACATTTTATTATCGTCCCGATAGAGTAGACTGCCATAGTATAATGGTATGTATTTATTATAAATAACGATAGTTACTGCAGTGCCATATTCTAATATCGTCCCGATCTGATGAATAAAGGACTGCAATAGGATAACGCCATTTATCCAGTAGAAATGTGGATTGTCGAATTGTCTTATTTAAGTTTTATCTATCAGCGTCTTATCTACCTGCGTAAAATGGCAGCATTTTGCTGTTGTGTTTCATATGGCGAGTGTAGAGAATCGGAGACCCTTTTACTTGAAACGAAGCATTCCATCTTAGTCCTCAGGTGTGACAACACATCTGCATTTTTGATTCGTAACCGAGAATAGATGTAGATTTCTATGAGCTACAGCAATCACTTGACATCATGACTTGATGTTGGGCTATGTCCTCGTTCGTTATCCTTATACTATAAAATAATCCATTACAAATAAGGATTGTCAAATTATTTTTTATTTATACAAATAAATTTTCGGTTTTTTACACAAGTACGTAACTCATATTATACAAGTAGGTACTTTTCATTTCTTCTGATATTTATTAAAGCAATATGTTACACATTATAAAAATATTAGTTAAATTTAAAAAAAAACATACCTTTGCAAGCCTGACGCTGGTCTCGTGTCTGGGGAAGATAAACTCGGGCGCGTGGAAGTTGTAAGGACGGATGATCAGCTCGTAACGCTCGTCAGAGCACTGACGCGGATGCCCGTAGTCGAAAGCCTAATATTAAAACAATAGAGTTGACTTCAAATAAATTATGACGAATTCGAATCCGGGCAGCGTTTGTTCCGTACAAAAGGTATTTATCTGTTTTCTGCCCGGATAATGATACTACAAGAAATATTTTTTTATCTTTATTTACCACTGCAAAAGTATAAATGTTTTGTTTTGTGCGTATTGAAAATAAAAACCTACTGAAATTACTAAAACTACCTATACCCGTCGTCAATAGACGTTAAGCAAACAAAACTCACAGCATAAAAGCGTTGAATAACAGCTTACGACTGCTGTGTTCCGTACGATAAGTGTGGAGAACCGGAGACAATTTCTACTAGAAATGAAGAAAGGAACTTAGGGGTAATAACGCATCCATATTTTGATTCTTAATTCAAAATAGATGTAGGTATCCACGGGCTCTAGCATCTACTTACAGGCGGACTGCCAGCTTGTTTGTCACGCTTACTTGCTTAACAAATTATGAAAAGCGGTCTATGTGACCTTTGAGTGTTTCAGTTTGAACGCAGAAAATAATCTTCAAGATCTGTACTTTTATATAGGGAGAATAACTGTATCTAGAGCCGCAGTCCATAAATAGGAAAATTACGAATAATCGAAGTAATGTTTATATTGTATCACTGAATTCCAATACAAACATCAAACGTCAATATTTCCAAATACTTCTTACTATGGGCAAGACTCATGTCCAACTATGGGCTTTTATCAGCTGATGGAGACAGAATTTTTTTAAAATTAAACTACGACGTTTAATTAAATGTAATAAGGTTCTCCGGTTCCTCATCATTCACCATTCCAAACACAGTATTTGTGGAGCGTGGTCCTTTTCTCGTCAGTCTCTCGTCTCAGCTGCAGCGTGGCTTTTCAAGTACAAATTATAAATTGTATGATTATTAGGCGCCTGAACTTAAAAACGTAAATACTTACTAGAATATGTATTGAATATGTTCCCCAAAATCCTTTCAAGTCCATCGCGGTCTCAAGCTCTCCGGTGACGTTCTGGATCTGGATCATGGTGAAGAGTTCTGGAACATCGAGGTCCCTGTTGGTGAGCATCAGGTCGAGGATTGCGTAGCCCACTCGTGAGTTGTCCGTATCCGGCTCGTCGCGGTCCGGGGCGTAGATGTCGGGCTCGAGGCGGACACCCTGGCCAAGATCAGGAATGTGTCATCATATTCATAGTTATCATCACAGCTTATTGCAAGCTCGTTAGTTAGCCAAGAAGGTTTAGGCAACCGCAAAACACTGTCTTTTTTTGTTTCAGAGACAATCGACCCTTTATCACATGATTGAACGAGCAGCTAGACTTGCTTATTAAAAATTAGTCTCGAAGTTATTAATTAAAAGGAATATTTCTTAGTAACTTGACTTATATTATAAATCATTTATGGAACATAGTAACCATTAAAAAATTATTTATAGAATAAGGGTGATAAATGAGCACACAGTCCACCTGATAGTAAGTGGATGCTGTGGCCCATAGACATCTACTGTTATCCTCGGTTAAGAATCAAAACGCAGATGCGTTGTCACCCCTGAGGACTAAGATGGAATGCCTCATTTTCAGTAAAAAAGGGTTTCCGGATGTCTTCACTCACCATACGAAACACAGCAGTATTAAGCTGCTATTTACGCTGGTATTCTATGTGAGCGTGGTCCTCCCCCGGTCGAGCCGACCCATTCGTGCTACAATCATAATATAGCTGCAGCGTAGCTCTCCCACGTAACAAATTACAAGATAACAACAAAATAGATTCAATATGCAAACAAACAGCATTTAAAATACAAGATCAACACTTGTACATCTCTACGAGTATATATAAAAATCAATTGCAGTCCATTACTCTCACAAAAAACTCGAAAATGGCTCGACTGACTTTGATGAATTTTTTGTGTGTATTTGAATGGGTCCCTGGTTGGTTTAAAACCTCATATAGAACCGGTAGGTGGCGCTGTTGTCAAGATCTAGCAAAACAGGAACGTGTCGCTAGTGTTATATAAAGGTACTTATTCTGTCATGCGCATTAAGCCACTTGATACAGTTCTGTCAAGTCACATAATCCGCGTGCTTGATATAAGCAGCTAAAACTTATCTGGAATCTCTATATAAACATTTCGCAAACAAGCATCTACTGTTCTTAGTTATTGATTACTCACCTTTGTTAAACTTTCTGAGATCGACCACGACAGCTCGTGAGGTTCTGGTAATTCGGGAGCGTTATCGTTCACGTCGAGTAGTACAACCAGCACTTCTGTGTCATTTTGATTTCTGTTACCATCTGAAATTATTTTTCGTTATAGTTATTAGAAAAATAATAAAAACAATAATGTCCTCCAGATCGAACATCGGTCACGGCGGTCAGTATCAACGGAGACAAGCCATCTGCACAGGACTGGACTATAATGCATGAGTGTATATATAAACGCACCTGCACTCTTTATTCTAACTTCTGTCAACTTCCTGATTCTGGGCTACAGAGAATTTCGTTTTTTAGGCCCGACCCGGGATTTGCACCCAGGATCTCATGACCAGCAGTCGCGTTCACATCCACTAGACCAACGAGGCAGTCTATCAAGTAAAGTACCGCTAGCAACGCGTTCCCTACTCACGACGTCGTCGCCTGACATCTAGACGCTATCGGCAAACCTGAGCGCAGGTTGTACGTTAATTCATTGTGAAAAAGTCTGAGACTGATTGTAAGACACGTAATTACAATTTTTGATGTCGTAATTACCTTTTACGAGTCCGTGCATTCCATTTTACTAATTTTAGCTCGCAACACTAACTACAACATAAAAGTTTTCAAAAAACTGAAACGATAGTCGATCGCCAAGACGCGTCTGGAGCTGCGCACAGCATGTGGGCCGCCAGCCGAGCGCGAGTGGCTGTACGACTGCCTTGTAGCCCCTCAGATCCATCATCCCCACCAAATAGCTTGGTATCGGCAGGGTCGTCCCGGACTCAGCAAATGGCACACGCATCTGGTGGAGTACACCGCATACGTTGGACGAAGAAAATGAATTCAAACGCATATTTTAGGGCGAAAGGGGGGAGAAGCTGGGGGGTTTTGCGTACCGGGCTAGAATGCATCGCTTTTATGCTGAGCTGAAGCCATCTATTACCGTCACCGAGACAAATCCGGCAGACGAGTCGGTATCATCGAGTCTGAGTTTCGTACATCAAATATATATGACACAGCCACGGCATTGTCAGCTTACTATGCCTATGCTCATTCGTGGCTTAAGTACGGAGTTATGTTGTGGGGAAGTAGCGTCGATGTGCTGCAGCTTTTTATTACCCAGAAAAAGTGCGTTAGAATACTAGCCCAGATAGATAACACTACTAGCTGTAGACCGTATTTCAAACAACTAAATATTCTTACCTTACCCTGTATGTACATTTATGATCTATGCCTGTTTGTCCACAAAAATAATAATAGTTTTAAGAAAAATAAAGATACGCATAACTTAAATACACGTAACAAAAATAAATTATACCTACCACAGTCGCGAACAAAAATGTTAAATACAAGCCCCTACTATATGGCAATAAAAGTATATAATAAATTACCACAGGAAATAAAAAATATATCAGAATTAACCAAATTTAAATCAAGACTCGGTAAATATTTAAAACAAAACCCCTTCTACTCAGTAGAAGAGTATTTAGATAAAAAATAACACTATTATATATTTTTTATATCTTTTATAGCTTTTAATTTTATTTTATTTTATGTATGTTAATAGTATATAAGCAGTGCCCTTGTCAAATTTGCAGTGCCTGAAAAGGGCGTCTAAGTTGTAAGCACATTTTTAATTTAATACCAATTATGTACACTTAGATTGCAAATAAATGATTTGATTTGATTTGATATATTTGATGACGCCGAACTCGAACGGCTACGATGTGAGGCTGTTCCCTCGTCGAATGAAAACACCACGACAGGAGATGCGGCTCTACAAGTTGCAGAGCAGCCCGTACATGTAGATACCGCCGTAGATCTCCTTGTGGTGGACTCAGACGACGATTGAATAGCTACCCAGGATTAAGAGCAAATGAGGAGCACATTGGAGGAGGCGATTATGGAAACGCGCAGTACGCCTCTCGAGGATCAACAATGACTTCCTCGCAATCAGCCCTAAGCAAGCAGAATCGGGCTGTCGTGAGGGCTCTAAATCCAATGCTCGTGACCTACTTGGAAGCCAGCCGGGACCTTTGCGAGACGGACTCAATTCTTTTTGGCGACGCATTGGTAGTATGACCCATTATTGGTCCCAAGCTCATCACGACTGGACGTGATACTACACAAAGTAGCGCCATCTCAGACTGACATCTCATACTCAGGTGAACTCAGACTGAACTAAATGCTCTGGATAGAAAAGTCCACTTTGTTATGAGGTCCCATAGGATGCATCATCGGAGATCGTCGATAATGAGGCTCTCCATGCTGCGGAAGCATGGTGGGCGTGGCTTTTTAATCGCATTCACCATGCATAATCGCGAATTGTGTAGCCTCCGTAATTATTTCCTGGCGAAATCGGATGGTCCATTTTATAGGGACGTCACGTTTCTTGTGATAAAGGGCTTACCCTTCTATCCTTAGCCAACGAGCAATGGCAAGACCGGGCAGTACAAAGCATTTCTGACCGTGAGACCGTATGGTAGGAGAAGGAGCTCTATGGGAGGTTCTACAAGGCTCTACATTAGCCTTTCGTAGATACAGTCGCCTTCCTCCACTGGCTACGCTTTGGTGACCTCTTTGGGGAAACCGAGAGTTTTGTCTGTGTGATACAGGACCAGGTTATTAAGATCAACAACTATCGGAGATACATCCTAATACGGATAGCGCCGTCGACTTGTCGTCGATCTGTCGAGCTTGTCGCCATCCCGATGAATTACTAAGGTATGTCACCTCCGGTTGTTCGGCTTTTTCTGACTCTGAGTAATTGCACAGACACAGTCTCACAAATACAGTCTCGTGGATCGGAAACTGCCTTATTATAAGTACTTGCCGGAAGCCGTGCTCGAAAATGACCGCGTCAGGTTCTACTGGGACCGGTCCATCGTCACAGACAGGACTATCTTTCGAATAAGCTTGATATTTTGTTAATGGACCCGGCACAGTCAAAGTCAATCAATATTTTTGGTTGACATTACCATTTCGTATAACGAGAACCTCATGAAAGCTGACACAGATAAGAAAACAAAATATCTGGACCTGGCTTATGAGGTGACCGACATGTGGGGTAGTTTGCCGACCGAAATTATTTCTGCAGTCATCTTTGCGATCGGGTTAATTTCGGTCCGCCTCTCGGGTCATCAGAGACGACTGGGAGTCCGTGAAGGATCGCTCCGGGCTCAAATGCAGAAGGCGATGCTCCTCGATACAACCCGCATCGTCCGCCTGTTTCTTTCCCTTTCCCCTAACCCTCAGCCTCCCCTGGTTTTTGGTCTCCGCTGGGATTCCATCCGTCTCTCTCTATCTCTATCTCTCTCTGTATCTCTCTCTATCCGTATATAATGTTTAATGATTAAAGGGATGAAAACTACGTCACAGTGACGAATTTTTTTTTTATTGTCAACCGATGATAAAATTTCAATATTTCAGAGATTATTCTGATGTTCGGAAGTGGTCGAAAAAAGATGCAAATCCACGAAGGACATATACAATATACATAGCACAAACCTCCCTCAGTATAAAAATTGTCAATCAAATAGAAGAAAATTCTGTGTTGTGGTTCGTCGCCGTCCCTGTCGAGCGTCTCCTCCGTGGTGTAGTTGACGAACACCTGTCCGCTGTCCAGGTCCACCGCGAAGAAGCTGCGCAGGCGCGGGTTCACTACGTAGTTGATCTGGTAGCGCACTGTGTGGTATATCTCTGTAAACGGAAATATGACAATTTTGATATTTAATTTACAACATTATTTAATATAATTTTTTTAGCGATTTACTCCAGAACAGCACTCCTATATTATTATTAAGTTTTATCTGTATTGAGGCGGCGCAAAAGATTCCATTACCCTATTTCGTCTCGTAGGTATCGTAAGAGGCGACTGTGAATATCCCTTTATTCTGGAAACAAGTCATTCCACCTTAAACCTCAGGGACAACGCTTCTGAATTTTAATTATTGATGGGGTATAGGTCACAGCATCTACTTACCATCAGGTAAGCTATATGCTCATTTGCCACTCTTATTCTGTAAAAAAAGATCACCCCTGAGGTCTAAGATGAAATGCCTCATTTCCAGTAAAAAATATGTCTCCGGATCTCTGCATTAACCATACGAAATACAGCAGTATTACGCTGCTACTTTACGCTGATGTTCTGTGAGAGCGTGGTGCTTACCCGGTCGAGCCGAACCATTCGTGCTACAACCCTAATATAGCTGCAGCGTGGCTCTACCACGTACATATATTCTTCTGATATGTAATATTAGCCTTACCGTCTCTGTCTTTATCGCTGGATACAATTTGAACGATCTCATCACCAGAGGTGGCATTTTCGTACACATACACAACAACGTCAAACTTGTCGGTCTCAGCTTGCGGCACTTTGTTGTTTGTGTCGATGATCTGGATCGCTATCTGCAAACATCAAAAATAAAATATCCAGGATCTTCTTTTAAATTGTTTAAAATTGCCTCCTTCATTGGTTTGCAATAATTTTTGGAAACAATCGTTGCCAATAGCAAAGTTCGAGTTTTCGTATTGTAAACGATCGTTGCCAGAAGCAAGCGAGAGGATAGTTTACAGTGCTATGTCTCTCACTTGTATAATATTTGCCATTATCACCACATTTGGCAGGATTGGGGTTCGCAGTGTCGGGTAATTTTTGAACTATCATAATCCACTTCTTGACTACTCTTCCACGTGATTTTAAGTGCTGTTGCGTTGTTGCTATTTTAGTATAATGAAAAAATCTAAACGAGCTTCAGATGTCGAGCGTCTGGTGGTCCGAATATGGAAAGGGGAGAGAGAGTAATAAAGTCATACAATTTCTGCGCACATTTTCCGAAATGTATCATGTAAAACACCAAAAGGCTTGCTAGTTTGGACATGTGGTCGAGACTGGTAAGATTGATATTAACCATATTTGTGTGACAAATAAACCCCTTAGCACAAGAATTTTGCAGCAACAGTCCATATATGGCAGCAATACTCCATGCACGGACTTTCGCTATATCTATTATAAGCAACTTTCCTGACGGAAGTATCGTCGCATCTTTGAAAGGATAAGGACTTTTAATTTCTGGCATATACATAACTATATCCAATCTAACGTCTATAATAATTATTTCTTGGTATCATTTTTCATTATTGACGATTCGTATTATGGAAATTGGTATGTATTTCCCACTCGGGGTGGTGTGCTGCTGGACACTGACAGGCATTTTATAGTATTTTGAAGTAGCTATATGTATTTTGCTCCGGATATTAGCTTATTTTATGACCTTTTATAGTACACGGTGACTTGATATAGCTCGAAGAACCGATAGCCGATGGGGAAAAAAGGTTCTCGAGTGTCAGCCTCGTACCGGTAGGCGTAGTGTAGGGTGTCCTCCACTAGATGGAGTGATGACCTCGTAAGACATGCAGGAAGTTAACGGATGCAGGTGGCTCAGGACCGTGCTTTGTGGCATTCCTTGGGGGAGGCCTATGTTCAGCATTAGACTTGTGAAGGGCTGTAATGATGATGATGATAATGATGTACATTTTTAGCGTGAACTGTATTGTTTAAAGTATAATTATTAACCATTACCGCATTGTTGGTGTAAGATAATCTATCACTTCATCTCGTGGGTGTCATTAGAGGCGAATTTAGGAAATGCTAAAAATTTCATATGGATTCCGATAGATGGCGGTATAACCACCTCGTTCGCCAGACGTAAACACTTAGTCACACATACACACAGTTGACGGACAGCAGGTTCAAAGGTGCAAGACGTTAATCTAATATTGTGATCATTAATTCGCCTGCAGTGTGACGATTTAAATAAAATACGTTACTACTAGGAATTTCTCCTGTATCGTGGAGGCAGTTTACATAACACATAAAATGCACGACAAACATCCGGACCATACATATACTTGTTCCGTGTGAGATTCGAACTGGTTGCCCTGTGGAGCATGCATCGGAATTTAGGGCTGATAAGAAAAGTAACAAATCTACTTACATCTCCCTCCGTCTCCCAGTAGGTGGGGTCTGGTGGACAGTCATCGGGGTCAGGTTCGAAGCATCGGTCCGTGGCGATCACCGTGTAGTAGAGGTTGTCGCGCGGTGGAATGTCCGCATCTATCGCACCGTCACTGTCTACCTCCAGCTGGCCCGTGTAGAAGTCTATCTTCACGAGGTCATCCAGCGTATTGTTCCTCGGGCTGAAACGAGACAGGGTATATATAGTGTACATAAACTTGTATAGAATAAAAATAAATAAATAAAATAAAATAATTTATTTTTCTTCACAAAACTTAAATTAATGACATAGTTGATTGGGATCTCCATTTAAGCAAGTAATGCCTGTGTTTGGAAACCCCGCTCTTCCTTATCTAAACATACATTTTTTAAATTTAAAAACCAAAAATGACAAAAACAAATTACTCTACTTTAACAAACCAAAATTTACAAAAATTACAAAAGTGTATATGTGTGCGTGCGTGCGTGCGTGCGTGCGTGTGCGTGTGCGTGTGCGCGCGCGTGTGTGTGTGTGTGTGTGTGTGTGCGTGAAGAATTATTTTGTTATATTATATTGTACATAAAAGCGAATTATGAAATGCGGTACAGCATGCATCTTTGTTCTCTTTTTTTAAAGTCGTTACCTTCACACTCGCATTAGGTCCCATATCGTCGAGCCGTTATACTTACATATGATATACTTAAATAGACCCGGAATAATTATTTACAGGCCATACAAATACTTGTTCTGTGCGGAGTTCGAACCCGCTTTCCGCCGCGTAGCAGCCTAACACTTGGTCTCTGCACTACCAAGACTTGGATTTCGACTCGAACAAGTCCTTAACATTAAGAATCTTGAGATTTAAATTTTAACTTAGCTTTTACTTGCTCGAGTATTTGGTTATGAGATGTTTGTTTTTAGCAATTCTGGAATTTTGCCCTTTCTAGTCTTGGAGTAAGAATCTAGAAAAATCTTTTAAGAAGAGACGAGTTTCATTCCTTAAAATCGATCTTGTACGTGGTAGAAACATAAAGTAAAAATCAAGCTACAGCCTATATACGTCCCACTGCTGGGCACAGGTCCCCCTCATTTCTGAAAGGGTTTTAGGGCAAGGAAGTGTCCGCCGCGCTGCCCCAATGCGAGTTGGCGAATTTCACATGTCTTCGAAAATATTTTTTTTCTTATTCCTCAGACATACAGGTTTCCTCACGATGTTTTCCTTCACCGCCGCGCACGTGGTAAATCAGCACTTAAAATTGCAATCAACAATTTCATTGGTGCCGGCGGGGTTCGAACCCGGGTTACTCGCGTTCTGTTATATTTACAGCGAGTGTTAACCATCTGAGCTACCACCACGGCTCTCTGGTAGAAAAATACAGCAGCTTTAATATGGTTGTAGCACGAATGGGTCTGCTCGACCGGGAAAGGATTACGTGTAAACGTCACAGCCTATTAAAGTCCAATGGTGAGTATAGGCCTCCCCCATAGATTGCTTTGTATGGAGGATATTAGCCATATAGTTGTGTCACGCTTGGCAAGCGAGTTGACAACCGTAGATTTTTATTATCCATCGTTATTAGGGAGACCCTGCTGGCTGTCTCCGAATTTATTTCCCTTCTGTCGCCTATTACGATACCCAGTGGATGATATGGGGTAATGGATATTCTTATACCGCCAATATGTGGTAATCGTCGTCGTCGTTGTTTAATTCTGAACATTGGCCCCTATAGAAACTTTATGTTAAGATGTCGCAGATCGAGTAACTATAACATAACTTACGCAATAATGTATCGCACTTGGTTGTATAGCGGTCCGTCAATGGCGGTGGCCAACAGAGAGCCGATAATGGTACCAGTGGCGGAGTTCTCCCGCACGCGGAACTGCTGCTGGAGACTGCCCGGGGACCACACCGGTGGATTGTCGTTCATGTCCACGATTATCACCGTGAACGTTACTGTACGTATCGAAAACGTAAATTAGAGAAACAGCTAAGCGAGATCGGGAGAGAACAGATCCCAATCGGAGACTACGCCACCAAGGTCACGTCCCTTGATTATGGTGTTTCCTATGAGAAACATATTTTAATGGGTTACGAGTGGTCGTATCTGGGGCTCTGTACGCGTAGTAATGTACATAACTCATGACTTTGAAGTGGTCCTAATAATAGCTTTGCTAGGGTACTGGGGGCAGTAAGTGTTGCACGTGGGACGTGCCTCTAATCGATAAAAGCAATGAAATGGTTGCATTCTGAGCGAAGAACTGGTACTAATTATTTGTGTGCCAAATTATTACTTTCAAACTGGTCTGATACTTTTGGCGTCATTGAGGAATAAACATTTAAACTTTTGCAATTATTATAGTTTGATTAGTGTGAGTATGATGACTGAGCCTAATTTATTGTCTAACAAACAAACAATTCTTTAATTAGTATTTCTTGTTAAGTAATTCCCTTAACATTATAAAAACAAAACACGACTGCTTAAAAGTAATGAACTGAAAACATAGGAATAACTTATAATATATTTCAGTAATCTCCTGTTAATTCCATTTATTTTGATACCCTTGTCAATAGGTTGAGTAAAAAAATTAAGGACTTACAATTTGGCGCCAAAAATCCGTCTTATTGATGTAAAAAAAAACCTATCTAAAACACACGGGTGTTTGAGACGAATCACACGAAATAATCTTTTTCTAAATAAGCGTCACATTATCGATATTAAGTATAGTGCGCAGCACTACGTCAAGTCGCCATATTTGTGCCAGATTCAGTTTAGGTATACACGTTTTTTTCGTAGGTATGTCATGTCCTTTCTTTTTTCTCTAGTCAAAGATTAAAATATTTACTATAATGTCCACTGTCAAAATGCCGTCAATAAAGCATCGCCCTTTTGACCCTTTATTATTTGATTGACCGATGAACAGTGACCGTATCACAGAGCCATCTATGTTAACAAGGCTGTAGTTTTTGAGTTACAAAAATGTCCACTTCCGAACCACACCGAATGACCACATTACCCTCACGTACCATATTATAGAAATTGTTACATTTATATATGTAACTGTTAATTTATTAAGGCTGACGAAAGGAAAAAGCGCAATAAAAAAGCAGAAATTTAGTAGCAGAAATAATTAATAAAAATTAATAGCAGAACTAATTAATAAAATTATAAGCAGCAATAATTAATAAAAATTAGTATCAAAAATATTTAATAAAAATTATTAGCCGAAATAATTAATAAAATTATTAGCAGAAATAATTAATAAAAAATATTTTCTGAGAATACACACTGGAAAAGTGTAATTTAATCGTAAATAGCGCAATGGGTCAATAGCAATTTACTTACAATTGGCAGTGGCAAATCGCAATTGGCTAGGTATGAGTCATAAATGGCAGTAAACTAGAAGACCAAAAAAATTAGAAGTGTTAGAGTAAAAGTATTGATTTCGTTAACGAGCTTACCAAACTTTTTTTACCATAATGATTTCTTAAATTTACGAGAACACTGCCCATTTAAAAAAATACTTTTACATATTTTATTCATTTCTCATGAATTGGGATAATTATCATTCTTAACAGGTGGTCTTAATTTTAATTTTCGGTCCAACCCAACATTTGTATAGGGAACACACAACACATATATGTAGGAATTGAGATACAGTGAATTATATAAAATGTTTTTTTATTCCTCTTTCCGAATAAGAATAGAATCGCTCAAGGTTTCATACTTGGTCCTATTTTGTCCTTAATCTTTATAAATGTTAAGAGCGCAGACGGGCTACATTTTTTACATACAAATGTATTCCCCTATTCTCTTCCTGGATAATGCCTCCAGAGTATTCGTTTTTTTTATAAAAATCTAGGTCTATTAAAGTCATGCCCCTGTCATTTATTTTTTTCCACAAAAATAAATATGACTTTCCAAAATCTGAAAAAGATGCCCCGTTTTTGCCTCCGTAATGAGACGACTACCAAAGTAATTTCAAAAGTTTTTAAGACAAAAGCAAATAATAGGATCAAAGATCTATTCTTCCTTTAAATTTTGATAGGTGAAACGCTTTTTATTTTTGTTTTTTATGTCTTGATAGTATATAAATATTTCTTTCATGTGAAAGACTCGAATAGCATAGATTGTCGTACACTGTATTACCCTTTTTTATTTGCACTGCTGGCTTTCTATGGTATTATATTATTTGTATAATAATTTTCTTATGCCTTCTAAAACTCACATTCGTCATAATCATCCCCGATTTCAGTGTTGAGGTCTCGCACCCTAATGGTTAGGTAAAGCACTTCAAACTCCTCGAAGTCCAGCGTCACATTATACCTGATCTCGCGAACCACTACACGGCCTACAGCAACGCCGCGGTTGTTCACTTCTGGATACAATGTCTCGATTTCAACGCAGCTAGGGAAAAAAAACATTTTCAAGCTTTAGAAACAAGACACATATTATTATCGGAATCGGTGTCGGTTCTGACATCGACAGATACAAGTTAAAAAGTGGGATTTGAAGACCGTATCTTTTTCATTTTCATCATGGACTTTGCAAAAGCATCGGAAGGTTAATCTATATATTCAAGAATTTTCACCGCTCTGCAAATTTGGATACATTGGAAATGTTTTATACGACTCTATGCCAATCTACTACATTTTAATCTACTGCATACCAGTTTAGGGTAGTACCCACAAAACCGCAATGCTACACCTCAAAGGCACGAAGAGCTGTGCTCAAGGTCATGATGAACAAACCTAGGATGTACCCTACTGTTGATCTCTATAATGAAAATAAAATGCAATTGTTTGTTCTTTGCACAATGCTTCGAAAACATTTACAACTTCCTTTAAACCCTGATATCCTTAAGCGCCGTACAAGTTTCCCTGTTATCCAGTACCTTTATGTAGAACAGCTTTTGCTTGACGTCAGTATAATTTAATCAGTTGTGTTTATAAAGTATGATTAATAAGTCGTTAAATATATAAGTACAAAATGAACAAACGAATTTAAAACAAACATATCAATTTTGTTTAAATCTCTAACATACGAATATACGGAAGAACTTGTCACAAAATAGGCACTATAATTATACACATATACAATCTACGTATATATAAGTGTATAGTATACACACACACACCTTTGTACTATGTTTGGGAGAAAACCTCTGACATCTAAGATAGAGGCTCTGCCTAGTGTAGATGTCAGTAGTTTCATAATAATTTGTAGAAGTACATAATTGTAAGCATAGTTTTGTTTTTAAGGTTTATCATGTCTATTTAATCTTAAGGATGCAATAAAGATGTATCATCATCATGACAGCCCCCCGCAAGTCCACTGCTGAACATAGGATCCTCCCAAGGAAAGCCACAAAGCACAGTCCCGAGCCACCTGCATCTATCTACTTCTTACAGTTCTTACCAGGTCGTCAAGCCATCTAGTTGGGTCGGCCGTACCCTTCACTTACTATCTTTCCTCGCCATCGGTTGTCGGTTCTTCAAGCTATATGACTAGAGACTTTCACTTAAGCTTACTGATCCGAGGCTATGTTGGTTATTATGGTTCTTCTGTGGATATTATTTATAGCGCAGAGAAACTCGGATTAGATTTCTGCTATCAAGTTTTCGACTGCGTTTGAAATATTGACTCGTGCCTATTTCTTCCTAACCAAACTGGGTTAGATCTTACGTTGCATTTGCAGGTAATAAGGCTACCATTCAAGCGCCTTTTTTCAGTTTTTATAGATTCTACAAGCCATGAAAAAGGTTCCTAGCCTTATTAAATCTAGTAACTACATCGGATTTGGATGAATACGCCGCAGAAACGAAGGGCAATAATTATACAATACAAATGAAGAATTCTCGAAATATTTTAAAATTCCTTGTAGATTTTATGAGATAATCAGTTCATATCGATAAAAATATCATATCGATAGATATATCAATAAAAAAATTACATTGAGACAATTATATCCTCTAGGATTCAACTGCCTCAAGGGTACAAAGCAATAGGTTACTGCTGACATCATTCCCCAAAGTTAATAATACGGCGTATGTCAATATAATAATAATAATAATAATAATAATCCTCATTGACGCGGTCATTGGCAAAGTGGTGAAACGCAACCGTCGGAACTTCTCCGCCGCCTGGATAGACTACAGAAAGGCATTCGACTCGGTGCCCCATACATGGCTAAAGAGAGTCCTCGAGCTGTACAAGATAGACTGTACAGTTAGAGACTTCCTTGAGCAGTGTATGGGGCAGTGGAGTACGATCCTTTGTCATCTGGGCGAGCGGATGATGGCTGCGGAGAACCACATAAGGATAAGAAGGGGTATCTTCCAGGGCGATTGTCTGAGTCCAATCTGGTTCTGCCTCTCTCTGAACCCTCTCAGTACCTTACTGGAGGGCTCCGGGAGGGGATTTCAGCTACGGAGAGGAGGGACAAAAGTGACCCACCTTTTCTATATGGATGACCTCAAGTTATTCGCCTCCAGTCGCTCCCATCTTATGGAATTGCTAAACATCACTTGTGAATTTAGCAATTCCATTGGAATGGAGCTTGGGACGGATAAGTGTGCGGTCCTCCATGTTGAAAGGGGAAGGGTTGCTAACTCTGAGGGCGTAGACTTATCTATGCCCGTCAACTTAAGGACCCTTTCCGAGGCTGAAACATACCGATACCTGGGTATGTCACAAAACATCGGTATCGATGAGACTGGTATGAAACAGTCAGTTTGCGACGTGTTTTATGCACGCTTGACCAAAGTGCTTAACAGCCTTTTGTCCGGTGTGAATAAGGCACACGCATATAACGGCTGGGTCATGCCTGTCCTCATGTATACCTTTGGCATACTCAGGTGGACTCAGACTGAACTTAACGCCCTGGATAGAAAAGTCCGCACTACCATGACGTCCCATAGGATGCATCATCCGAGATCGTCGGTAATGAGGTTGTACTTGTCGCGGAAGCATGGTGGTCGTGGCTTCTTGAGCGCGCTCACCATGCATAATCGCGAAGTGTGCAGCCTCCGTGATTACTTCCTGGCGAGATCGGATGATCCATTCTATATGGACGTCATTTCTTGTGATAAAGAACTTACCCCTCTATCCTTAGCCAACGAGCAATGGCAAGACCCGGCAGTGCAGAGCATTTCCGACCGAGAGACCGTATGGAAGGAGAAGGAGCTCCACGGGAGGTTCTACAAGGCTCTACATGAGCCTTTCGTAGACACAGTAGCCTCCCTCCACTGGCTACGCTTTGGTGATCTCTTCGGGGAAACCGAGGGTTTTGTCTGTGCAATACAGGATCAGGTTATTAAGACCAACAACTATCGGAGATACATCCTAAAGGATGGCACCGTCGACATCTGTCGAGCTTGTCGCCATCCCGGTGAGTCACTTAGGCATGTTATCTCTGGTTGTTCGGCGCTTTCTAACTCTGAGTACTTGCACAGGCACAACCTAGTAGCCAGAATTCTACACCAGGAGCTCGCTCTGAAATACGGTCTCGTGGACCGGAAATTGCCGTACTACAAGTACTTGCCGGAAGCCGTGCTCGAAAATGATCGCGCCAGGCTCTATTGGGACCGGGCCATCATCACAGACAGGACTATTCTTGCGAATAAGCCTGATATTGTGCTGATGGACCGGGCACAGTCAAGGATATTTTTGGTCGACATTACCATTCCGTATGACGAGAACCTCGTGAAAGCCGAAACAGACAAGCAAACAAAATATCTCGACCTGGCTCACGAGGTGACCGACATGTGGGGTGGTCTGCCGACCGAAATTATTCCTGTAGTCGTCTCTGCAAACGGGCTAATCCCAGTCAGCCTCTCGGGTCATCTGAGGCGGCTGGGACTACGTGGCGGACCGCTCCAGGTTCAAATGCAGAAGGCGGTGCTCCTCGATACCGCCCGCATCGTCCGCCGGTTTTTTTCCCTTTCCCCCTAACCCTCGGCCGTTTGGTCTCCCCTGCCGAGGGCCTCCATCTGGTTGGGCTTTTATTTATTTATGTACTTTTATATTTATTTTATGTTATTGATATTTATGTATATTTATTTTTTCATTTTCATTTATAATTATATATTTATAGAACCCAACCAGATGAGAAAACTATATAGATACCCCATAATAATAATAATAATGTCCTCCAGACCGAATTTCGGCCACGGCGGCCTGCCTCAGCGGAGGCTAGCCATCAACGCAGGACAGGATTATAGTGCCCAAGTGTATGCGCAAGCACAGGTGCACTCTCTATTCCCTCACTCTCATAATCCAATAGGACGGTAAACCGACACGACTGGAGAGAGATCAGGCGCAGGACCAACGGCTTTACGTGCTTTCCGAGGCACTGGGGTGAGACACTGCCAACTTCCTGACTCCGGGCAATTACTAAAAATTTTTTGACGGAAAAACTCAATAATTAGTTTTTTTTGGCACGACTCGGGATTCGAACCCAGGACCTCATGATCAGCAGTCGTACTACTACAACCACTAGACCAACAAGGCAGTCAATATTATATATTGTTAGTATAATTTACAATTCACTCTGATCAAAATACTTAAGGTTTTTAACTAAAAAATACTACTATGTGATTAAATATTGACCGACATTTACAAACAAAGAAATCTATAAATATAATATTCTCACTTGTGGTATTCCTTTGGATCGGTCTCCCGGCCCTGCTTGGTGGCATACGAAGTATTCCAGTCGATCTCAAAGCGCAGTTCCGCTGTAGTATCTGGGTCTGTCGCACGAATCTCCCGCGTAATTTCTGTTCCTTCAGGCACGTTCTCTTCAATTTGTGGGCTTCCTCGTGGCTTTTTAAATAAAAACATAATTAAAGTTTCATATGTTTAGCTTGCATATGTGTAGCGCGAGTGGGTCGACCCCACCGGGGTAGGGCCGCGCTCTCACAGAATACGAACGTAAAATAGCAGCTTAATGTTGCTGTGTTTCGTATCGTGAGTGTAGAGAACTGGAGACACTTTTTACAAATTTTTTTATAAAGGAGGCATTCCATGTTAGTTCCCGGGGGTGACTACGTATTTGCATTTTGATTCTTAATCGAGGATAAATGTAGTTGTCCGAGGATAAATGTAGGATAATAAAGTTGTATGTTGAGGATGCTGTAGCCCATAGGCTACAGCATCCATTTTATATCAGGTGGACTGTGTTATGGTGTGTAGAAGTAAGGAGAACGATCTCTCATAGGAGAATAGTTTAAAAAGTGTCCATCTATAAGCAATAAATAACAGTTCAAAAACTCTCCACAACAGCGCTGGAGTAGCTACAGGGATGAAATGAACTTAGCAGTTGTCGACGGTGTGAAGTATGCTGCTAAACTGTTCAGCAGCTCTAAAATCTAAAATAATTTTATTTAGTAAATATAACCTCGAAAAAGTCGTCCATACCACTAATATTTTTGGCACGTTCTTTAAAATTTTACCCGTAACTATAAATAGTAACGTTCTAACAAATGTGGGTATTTTATGTCTGGCGCAAACAAGACTGTAGGAAGCCATATGATTTTGGTACGACTCTGGTATTTCCTCACTTACGACACTCACGGGACAAAATAAGGACCTGATTGACCACCATTGTGTTCTTTGGCTACACAAGTTCCAAACGAAAAACTGTCGCACTTTTATTTTACAAAGAAAAAGTTACGGACACGGGGGACACAACACTGTATGCAGTATTATTTTACATAAATTTCGTTATAAAATTTTCCTCCCAGTACTTATCAGTACAAAGTCTATTTTTTTAAGAATCATCCCTGTCAAACTGATATATCCAATATCAGTTTAGACATATAGTTACGACATGCGACAGAATGGAATTTATGTATGGAAATACTAGCTGATACTCGCTCGTTTCTTTGGACGCAGGTAAATATTTTATTGCGGAACCTACATCTGAATATCAAGAAATTCTTTGATGGAACTATCGTACTATCCGTTTTCAGTGAGCGTCTGCATTGCAAAATGAGAGAACTATACTAAATTTCAAGTCAGTGTGGTGTATAGTTTTAGAGATATTGTGATGAGTTAGTAAGTAGTATTTATGCTGACTGACTGACTGTATATACAGAATGGGTCCCACATATATGCAATAAATGAAACCACAAGTAATACTAGTCCGTAGAAATGTAGAAAAATTAAATATTAAATTAAAACCCGTAAAATAAAAAAAGTGAAATTTTCAAACAAAATAAATATTAAAATAAATTCAGTAAAAGTGAACACTCTGTTTAGACAACGTACCTTGACCCCTTGGAAGAGTGACAACGTTGTACGCGGGTGGCACGCCGACAAAAGACACCGCTGTCGATATGTCGCAATACCAATAGTTTGCACTGCGTGGCAACGTCGCTTTTTAGTGTTTAAAGATTCAAGTTCATTGAATCATTGACTTAGTGACCCAATTCTATAGAGTGTTCAAATTTGCTTAAAATTAAAACTCTACTTTTTGACCTAATTACTGGACCTGGATAACCGACATAGAAAAAATATCATAAGAATATTTCATGGATGCCTGAATAAGCATCGCCGAAAATATTCGAACAAAAATACCCAGAACGATGTTTAAGGTTGTTGTTTTTTTGTTGTAATTACGAGTACTTATCGGTTACAACGTGATGCTTTGAACTATTCTGCTTGTAGGTTGATGCTTGACTTAGACTATAAATCTAGGCTAAAGAACTAAAGATCGATATCGTTGAACATAGTATCAGATGCGGTGATACAAAATCTTAGAGTTGTGTAGTACCCTAATATTCAACGAAAATAATTTAGAAAGAGAAGAGAGAATGAAATTGTCTAGGGAACAAGTAAATTTGAAATATCTAATATAGAGTAATATTAATCAAACCTCAAGTTGATATAAATAAGGTTTGCTGAGCATTTTGAGGTCCTAAACATCAGTTTTTATGTAAATCATAAAACTGAACAATGCACTTACCAACCGTAAGCTGGGCGGAGTGTTGTTGATATCGTTGAGTTGTATGACCAGTTGCGACGTGGCCGTGTGGTACGGCTCTCCCAACGTATCGTCTGCTCGCACCTGCACAACGAAACTGAATGTCTACAGTTTTATTTAAACTAGCCAAGACCCGCCCTGGCTTTTCCTGGGTGGATAAATTAATGTGGCGTAATTTCGATTTAAGATAATCATCAAAGACCACTTATCAACTCTCAAAGAAAGACCTCAGAGGTTCCTAAGTCGACGTGTATATTTTTTTATGTATGAACACGCATAACGTTTTACAGAGTAGTACGTGGATTTTGATAATTCTGTTTTTATTGGATAGGGTATACCTCAAAATTGGTCCAAAATAAATTTCACTTATATTAGTTTAAGAACTTAATTCTTAAGGTAAAAGAAAAAGATTTATTGTTTTCTCCTTTTCAGTTTTTCCGGCTGTTTAATTTTATTGTTAAAAAGTTTTTATTTTATATGTATTTTTCGGATAACATAAATTATTAATCTTCTAAAACTCTATCTGTTCGTGAAGTTTCATGACCACCGGTTCAGCTATTCCGAATATTATATAATATTAGACAGTCAGGCAGACAAAATTTTTAATAATGTTTATTCGTAAGATTAATGAAGACCTCTACAGAGAAGAACTGGCCAGAAACTCTATGTTAATTGTTTTTTTTTTTATTTACTTACTACGTGAAATGGTCTGGGGTTCGTTATACACTTGCGAACTAATGGGAAAATAATTTGAGTGGAAAAAAACACCAATATATGAATTAAAATGAATTGGCACTCACCTGCACAAACAGCTCACTCTGTCTGTGATAGTCGAAGCCATCGTCCACCGACACGTGGATTTCACCGGTCAAGTTATTGATGCTCAAAAGCTGGCCGGCATTACCCATTAAGGAGTGTCTGAAATACGAAACAGAAAATCAAGCCGTGATCCCTTCCGTAATTCACATATACTAATAAGGTAAAGCCTAAATACGTTTGTTGGCTGATTTTACACGTCCTTGAAATATATATACATCAGAAATGCAGTTTTCCTTACGATGTTTTTCTTAGGCGTCGAGAAACTGGTAAATCGGCACTTAAAATTGTATTTTTTAAGCTCATTATTAGTCAGCGCTTGACCACAATCCCACCTGGTGTTAAGTGGACGGACGGAACGGACTTGCCTTGAAGACGCCCAGATTGTATTCAGACGGAAAGACAGACGCCGCGCCGACAAATTATTCCACTCCTTTGCTGTATGCATTACAAAAGATGAATCAAGCCGCTCGATTCTAATGCATGGAATATGGACAACAAAGGCGTGAAGACCCGCCGACCGTCCGGTTGTCCGATGGTGGAAAGGAGAGGGAAGACTTGAAGCATGTAATTCCTGCGCAGTCTCCGAAATGCATCCTACAGAATACCGAGAGGCTGGGTACTCTGCGCCAGTGCTTGAGGCTGACAGGATTGGTTTCAACCAGATCAAGGTCAACAATAAGCCTCGTGGCACGTCTTTCCACTTAGTACAACGCTACCAGATGGCATTCAGCAGCAGCAGTCCATATGTGACAGCAGTACTCCATGCACAACCGGACTTGCGCTTTATATAAGATAAGTACCTGCCCCAGCATGAAGTACCGCAACACCCTTGCAGGAACACTAAGTTTCCTTGCGGCTACTTTGGCTCTGGACTCAATGAACCGCCCATAGTTGAGGTTCGGAGAAAATTCAACCCAAAACAACTGAAGGCGTTTCGATTTCACTTGTGTATGTGTGTAACAGCAAAGCTATTCCTTACACCACTATATCGTCGATATCCCTGTCGTGCGCTATGACGGTCGCAACGTAGAAGCCCCGGCCTTCAGTCTCATTGAACGACACGGTTTGTACACTGTGCTCGAAGATTGGCTCCTCGTCATTCCAGTTGATCAAGTTTATGTAAACTCTCGCTACACCCACGAATTCGGTGTTGTTTAAGTCAGTTGCTACCACCTGCAATTAATTACAAGGTAGTAGATATTATTTACATGGTAGAGCCACACTACAGCTATATCACAGTTTAAAGGCTACCTGTGGCTATATTATGGTTCTAGCACGAATGGGTCTGCTCGACCAGGGTAGGACCACGCTCTCACGGAATACCAACGAAAAATAGTGGCTTTAATGCGTCTATGTTACATACGTTAAGTGTAGAGAATCGGAGACCCTTTTACTGGAAACGACGCATTCCATCTCAGTCTTCAAGGGTGACAACGCATCTGAATTTTGATTCTTAGTCGAGGACAAATGTAAATGGGCCACAGTATCCACTTACCATTAGGTGGACTGTACTGTGTGCTCGTTTGTCACCCCCATTCTATATAAAAAAATTATAAAAATGCAATAGTTGTAATAGTAATATGTATATATGTATTAGTTAATAGTCTAATATAAGATGTTATAAAATGTAGAAAATGAACCTTAAATTGGATAGGTGACATCATGAGTCATGAATTCATGACTAAAAATTTATTATTTCGTATAATTCAAATTTTTTTCTTCTTCTTTTTCTTCATCATCATCAGAGCAATCATATTTTAAAACCTAAAGAGTTAAAGAAATCAATATATTAACTTTGGCCTCTCAATACATTAATGAAAATGTAATGTAGGTACACAAAAATATAAGTAGTTTTACAAAAATAAGTGATATTCGTTTTGTAAATACTAGGAACAGACACAAGCTAGTAGTACCAGTTACTCGACTCCACCGAATCAGTAATTAATTCTTGGGGCGATGTATACGCTTTTACAACAAAATTCCAGAAAATATACAAAATTTGAACGGCTCAAATTTCAAAAACTTTATTAAACTAAGTTTGTATAAAAAGGCTTATTATAATATTAAAGAATTTATAGATGATAATAACCCCTGCGAAGGGTGATCGCAACCAAGCTAGTATTTCTAATTTGTTGTGTTGTTAATTGTAACATAGATGATTGTAAGTTATTATCTTTTAAAAAAAAAGTCCTCCTGGGTTTCTTGCTGGTTCTTCCCAGGACAGAGGTTTTTTTTCGAACAAGTGGTAAATAAAAAATTGAATTTTAATAAGTATTATTTATAATATATATTGCATAAAAACTTTCTTTTCTGTCTCAGCCCGAAAAAACCTTAAAAATCTAAATAAACCTTTGAAACTGTTCCCCGGATACCGGTCCGGATATTTTATACCCGGCATATACGAGACCATAAAATATTTTTAAAATAAACAATAGGCACCTCTCTTCATTTCTTACGACGCCCATGGGACTGTGGATTATCTTACTCCGCCACTACACGGTAAGTGAAAGTTTTTATAGTGAATTTTAAAAAAATCTATTTGAACATTAGCATTAACGAGAAATGCTTCCATGATTATACCCTGAGTCTGATTTTTTGGAAGTCTGGCTCCTCGAAATCCAGCATGGAGTGGTTGTAAGTGCCCATAATGAACTCTTGACGCTGGTAACCCACTTCGGGCGCGATGTAGAATGCTTTCGCGGCGTCTGGCGGGTAGTCGCTTTCTAAATGCACGCTGTATTGAGCGTTTTGACCCTGCGAAAGAATAATTTTTTAATGAAATCTTTAAATTCAAACTGCATTAAGTGTTTCATTAAAGAAATTCAAACGAAACAAGGGACTCAGCTTCTCTACACTTACCAGATGAAAACAGCAACATTAGGTTGCTATTTTATGCTGGTATTCTGTGAGAGCGTGGTCCCGCCCCGCTCGAGCCGACTCATTCGTACTACAACCATGAGGCAGCTGCAGCATGGCTCTATCACGGTAAATTGGGGAACGACCAATCTCGCACAGAATACCAGCACGAAATAGCAGATTAATGTGTTTCGTATGGGTGTAATAGTAACAAGCATTCTATCTTTATCTACCGTGGCATCCTCTTACTATCAAGTGAACTATGTGATCTTGTTCTGTAAACAACGACGGGTTGCACTCCGGGAGTGCCAGCAGAAGTGAAAACTTGAATATTAACGTTGTGCATTTTTGATATTTTGGAATGATTAGGGAATAATTTTGCACGAATTGCTTTAATTATCACACACGAACATTCGCGCAAGCGCCCTGCGCCGTCTAAATGAAACAGCAGGCGCAGGCATACATTTTCGCCACGCCGTAGAAAGAGAGAGGGATATTTCCCATCCTATGCCGCACCGGCTGTCTCTCTCTCTCTCTCCATCCGTCTTACGAATTTTCGATCAGGGTCACGTGTCCTGACGCGAGTTTAACATTTTTTACCCATTACAAAAAGTGTACAACGCCGTTAAAGAAGTTTTCACTTCAAAAAAATATAGGCGCATTTTATACAGAAAGGACGTGGTGAGGTCGTGTGATGGTGGCGGATATTCAAAGAAACATAAAATAGACCTAACAGCTATGTCGCGTAGCGTCGCCTTTGTCGGAAGGAAAAGTGCGCCCGCGCCACCTACGTGTCGCGCGTCCCATCTTTAGTCGTATTATTATAATAGATTAGGTCTATTTTATGTTTCTCTGATTATCCACCGCAACAGTGACAACAAAATAACAGTCGCCTCGGTTCGACCGGTGTAAGACCACGCTCTCACTGAATACAAACACAGCAGCTTAATCCCTGTGTTTTGTATAGTGAATGTAGAGAACTAAGACTTTTTTATTGAAAACAAGGCATTCCATCTTAGTCCTCAGGGGTGACAACGAATCTGCATTTTGATTCTTAATTGGGGATAAATGTAGATGTCTATAGGTCACAACATACACATACCGTCCGGACATACACATATGTCCGTGTGTCATCCTTATTCTATTAAAAATATTTACCATAATCGTTACACTGGCAGGCGAATTGGCAATCGCTGTGCCAGAACTGTTGAGTCATTGACGGTGCCCCCTCAAGGGTCTGGATAATTTTAGGTTTAGGTTTAATACATTTTAATTTTGTTTTTAATTTCTGACATATACAAGACTGCAATAGATGGACGTACCATCTATTGGAGGTTACGCAATCATGCAGACACTTATCATAATCACTTTTACGATACAAAACATAATAATTATTTAATGACCATAATTTCTATGACCCAAGACCAATGATAGATTCTCTTATGATTTGTCTTAAAAATATCTCTATGTATATGGCATTGTATATTTAAAACCTTATTTTATGATTACGTTATCTAATTTCACTTTTAATCTAATAAACATAAAGTATAAGTTTAAATGGTGTTCATACCAAATCTCGATCGTGAAATCCTAGCTGTTCAATATTTAGAGTCATTGGCGTCTCCTCCATGATATCAATGTGGTACTCTTCAAACAGAGGCTCTGGTATCTGATCGTTGACGTCGTTTACAATGATCACAATATTAGCAGCAACGGAGAGACTTTCATTGTTTTCTTTGTAAGCAATTATTGAGAGTTGAAAAACCTCTCTCTCGAGTTCATCTCTATCGATAGGAGACACGTGGAAAATAGCACCGTCTCTCCCGCCTTCGATTGTCGTAATATTAAAGAATGTATCTGGAATAAATTTAAAAGGAGATGTCAACATTAAAAGTTACAGTCTATATACGTCCCACGGCTGGCACTGGCCTCTTCTCATTTGTGAGAGGGTTTTTAGGGCAAGGAAATGTCCATCGCGTTGAACCAATGCGTGTTGACGAACTTCACATGTCTTCGAAATATTTTTTTCTTATTTCTCAGACATTCAGGTTTACTCACGATGTTTTCCTTCACCGCCGAGCACATGGTAAATCGGCACTTAAAATTGCAATTAACAATTTTATTCGTGCCGGCGGGGATCGAACCCGGGTCGCTCACGTACTGTGAGATTTACAGCGAGCGCTAACCATCTGAGCTACCACGTCTTTTGATGTCAACATTATACTATAGTTATTAATTTATTTGTTTAATTTTCACATTTCTTCTAGTATCCATTAATTTTCAATATGTTAGTATCAACAGGGCCTACATAAATGTTTCAGACAGGGTTGTGCAGATGTCTATTGGCTGATCAATCTGCTTATGTACCTACACTTGATTGAAAACTTTGAATGTCAAAGAATGTGTGTTATGAAAGTTAAGTTGTGAGTGAGATAGTCGTCGAATGCCTCTTGTACGCCTACCATCAAGTCATATTTGCATCGTCGGAGGGTAAGTTGCAAGTGATGGTTAAATTAATGAAGAGTATTATAAGAAAGGGGAATAAAAGTTAACGAGACGAAAATAATGATTTTTAAAAGAGAAGAAAGTAAAACGATATGTGAAATAAGAATAAAAGGGGAGGTGGTTAAACAATTGAAGGAGTTTGTGTATTTGGGATGTGTACTTAGCAGGGATGGTAGACATGACACGGGTATAGAACAAAGTCACTCTACTGATGGGAGTTAGAATATGTTAAAAAGGCACTTAGGGAGTTCACAATTCTGTTTTGGTCCCTACCTTATCGTATGGTAGTGAAAGTGGTGTGTGGCAGACGAAGCATGAGAGGAAAATTAATGCTGTAGAAATTCGGTTTTAAAAAGGAAGTAAGGTGTGACTCATAATGATAAGGCGAGAAATTACAAAAAGTGATTTGTGGTAGTACTACATATTTATAATAATGGACCCAATAACTTCATTTTCCAAGTATACAATATGTAACGTCATTAAAGCACACCCTCAGACACCCCAATTAGTATATTATGTTATAATCATAATACATACACTGAATTTTTAGTTAAACATTTTTATGCACTGATTATTTATCAAATTAGTTATACTAATTCTGGAAGAATGTTGTGGTCACAGTACAAATCCACGAACGCAAAGACTTTAAATTGCTTGAAATAAAGTTCATTTTTCTTTATTTTTATTGAATGACAGGATTAGTAATAATACAAATAAAATTGCACTCTTAAAAGTCTTATTGCCTTAAGTTACGGTCCATTTCAGTTTGTTTTGATCGTAGAGATTTAGTGTGACTGTATTTTACGTAGTTTTAATCATTTTTGGGATAAAAAATTACCTATATTAAAAATGATAGAAATCGATTCAGTAAACGATTCTGAACAAACTACTTTCTCAAAGTGCGTTAATTATGTTACATGTTGTATAATGGGTTTGAAATCCTGAAATATTCCTACGTCCGTATAAACGTATTTTTAGCCCTTATTTATGTACTGGAGTTTATACGTGGTAGAGTCACTGCAGCTATATTATGGTTTTGGCGCGAATGGGTCAGCTCGACCTGGGAAGGACTATGCTCTCACAGAATATTAATACTGTTCTGTTTTGTATGTTGAGTTTAGAGATCCGGAGACCCTTTTTTACTGGAAACGAGGCATTCCATCTTAGACCTTAGGGGTGACAATGCATCTGCGTTTTGATTCTCAATTGGGGATAAATGTAAATGCCTATGGGCCACAGCATCCACTTACCATCAGGTGGACTGTATGCTCGTCACCCCTATTCTATAAAAAAGTAGACTTAAAGTTCTAAAGTACTAGAGTCTAGATTTATAAATAATGATGATGATGATGGATCCAATTACCTAAGTCCTTGTATAAAATACCCAATAGTAAAAGGGTGATACCTTTCCAGACGGACTCTAAAGCGGAACGGGAGTACTATACTGGGACAGTTTAACTAAATCTACCCTACAACCAACATTTACTATCATAAAATAAAAATATAAGTACCTTCAGGTGCAGTCTCCAGCCTGTAGTATATAGGTCGATTAATGCCAGTGTCACCATCGATGGCCCGCACTTTAAAGTTCTGTTCGGTCTTCTCGTCGAACTGCTGCACCGCGAAGATCTCCACCCACCGCGGAGGTCTATGCTCGACGTTCTCCACTTGTACCATCAGGGTCACTGTATGGTTGTTGGGTAAAGAGTCCTGAGGGAGTTCAAATTAACAAAAACATGTTGTATTTAAAAATTGCTGTAATCCAAAAACGTTAGCTTATTTTATTAAAAAATTTTATTAAATAATTATATAAAGAGTGGATTACGAAACAGGAAATTACACAGAGGAAATAAAATAAATGGGGTTCTACACTCTATTTTGAAAAGTCAGAATGTGTCAAAAAAGGCACGTATGGCAATTCACAATGCTGTGTTAGTCCCTACTTTAACGTATGGTAATGAGAGTTGGGTGTGACAGAAGAAGCACGAGAGTAGAATAAATGCAATAGAAATGCGGTTGCTAAGGTGTATGTTAGGGTTGAATCTGAGTGACAGGGTGAGAAATTGTGTGATAAAAGAGGAGTGTGGTTTGCAAGATGATGCTGTGACCAGGATTAAGAAAGGAATGCTTCGGTGGTTTGGTCATGTAGAAAGAATGAATGAGGAAAGAGTGACAAAGCAAATTTATGTTGCAGAAGTGAATGGAAGAGTCGGAAAGAGACGTCCTAAGCAAAAGTTTGTAGACCAAATTGGCGATATATTGAAAATAGGCCAAATTAAGCGTACCTTTAACCGACGTGCATGTATGCGTAGGTATATGGATGTGGAGGAGGAAAAATAGGTGTGTCAGGACCGCGCCAAATGGAAGTCTGTAGTCCCCGCCTAACCCTCTGGGTGACAGGCGTGTTTATGTATGATGTATTATGGATTACGACATGTTTTCATTTTGCAGAAACAGAAACAGAAACTTTTTTTATTCAATGTAGATTATAACAATACTTATCGAAAGTCACTTTTTTTAATTTACCACTGGTTCGCAAAAAAAACCTCTGTTCTGGGAAGAACCAGCAAGAAACCCAGCGGGACTATTTTTTTTCCAATAATAGCTTACAATCATGTTTACAATTAACAACACAAAACAAATTAGAAATAGCTTGGTAGCGATCACCCTTCCCAGGGGTTATTATCATCCATAAATTCCATAATATTATAATAACCCTTTTTATTTGTGTATGACAAATTTTGTATATTTTCTGGGATTTTGTTGTAAAAACGTATACATCGCCCCAAGAATGAATTACTGACTCGGTGGAGTTGAGTAACTGGTACTACTAGCTTGTGTTTGCTCCTAGTATTTATAGGATGAATACCAGTTATTTTCGCAAAACTACTTTTATTTTTGTGTACGTACATTACATTTTCATAAATGTATTGAGAGGCCAGAGTTAATATATTGATTTCCTTAAATTTTTGTCTCAGTGACTCTTTTGGTTTTAAATTATATATTGCTCTAATGGCCCTCTTCCGTAAAATAAATATAATTTCAGTGTCAGTCGCGTGTCCCCGTAGCAAAACACCATACGACATAATGCTATGGAAATAACTAAAGTACACTATTCTAGCTATTTCAACATTCAATTAAAAAAGGTTAAATATGCAAAAAATTAAAGAGCAAACCGATGAGGCATTATTAAGCTATTGCATAGCTTCTATCGCGGGCCTTGAGCGCGGGGACCGAATCCAGAAATTCCGTAACGAGAAAAACCTCACGCTCCCCACTCCGACGGGCACGGAGGTGTGACGTTGAAAGCCGTGCATCGTCTACCGTCGTTTCAGTTCGGCAGACTTCGGCACTCGGCAGAGTTCGGCACGGTGTTTGTGTGCGTGCGACTAGACGTATGCGTGTACACTAGCTGCTAACTCAATGATAAAAATTCCTGTATAACCTACATGTATTGTAAGATATTAAAAATATTTTAAACAATAAAAACTTCTCATTTATTCAATAAGAGAAAAAAAATTGTTTTCTTATCGGTCACCACGCTCAAAAAGTGTAACTTGATTTAATATCAAAGACTTAACTGCATAAATAAAATAAATAAATAATTATAATTGCATAAGTTGATAAAAAATGCTATGCAATAGCTTTACCGCGGCAGTCACCAGTGTCACACGTATTTTTCTGTGTATTAATGTAATACTCTAGAAATTGATAAACTTTAATTTAAAACTAACGTCTCAATTAAATGACATTACGTAACAAAAAACTTTACCTCATTGTCAAGTAGCGACATCTGGTGATTGAAATAATATTAGCCCGCATTGCGTAAACTGTTAAAGTTATGCCATCTAAAACACAACTTGTAAAAAAAACCAAGTCTCGCAACTCAGTTCTTCTATCGTAAAAAGTTATGCGGTAATCACAACTTTTTACGATAGAAGAATTGAGTTGCGAGACTAGGTTTTCATTACAATTTGTGTTTTTGAGGGCATATTATTATTGTGAGCTAGACAAATGAGCCAGCTCTACGTAGATGAATAAGGCTTTTTTATAGGATAGGTTGAAAAACGAGCACACAGTCAACCTAATTGTAAGTGGTTGCTGCGGCGCATAGAAAATGCCATGAACAAAACCAGGTTGCCCATGAACAAAACCAACTGCAATACCAGGGAATTGCAGATGCGTTGCCGGCCTTAATATATCAGTTAAAATAATGCATTACTATGTAATTTGAGTTTAAAAGATAAAAAGGACAGAATGTTTGAGATTTTCCTTAATTAATTTTTTTTCGCCATTTGCCTACATTGCTTATTTTAAACCTTCTCTGCATAGAGTACAGAGGTAAGGAGGACAATCTCCCATAGGAGAATAGTTGAAAATGTGTCCTTCTGTAAGCAGTAAATAACAGTTCAAAAACTCTCCAAAACAGCGCTCGAGTAGCTACAGGGTATGATAAATCACCGTAAAATACGTTGAGAGTGGTTCTGAAAATAAACATTTTGAAAGCAATAAAATAATTATTGTAAAAATAATTATGGTGAAAGTCTGTGCAATAAAAAAATTATAAAAAGTTCTTTAAAATTTAGACTGTAGCTACAGTGGCGCCACGCTTATTTGGCGCTTTCCTACGGACACTTTTTTATACAGAGTCTGTACTCCTTACCTCTACACTCCATACTTCTCTGCTTTAGCCGGTTATTGCAAAATGACCCTGTATAAAAATTAATTGCAGTCCCTTAGTCGCGCTAAACTCGAAAACGGCTGGAGCCATTTTAATGGTGGTTTTGATGGTTTAGATTCACAATCGGACCCAGTAGGTGGCGCTGTTGTCGAGATTCAGAAATCACCCGTGCGAAATCAGGGCGGATCGCTACTACGTTACAACTATATGCATACAGGGTCCAATTTGTAAAAAAGAGATAAATAATATATGAAAAGATTTTTAGTTAGAGTAAAATTAAGGCACATCACGCAAAAAGTTTTCTTTTCTGATGAAAAAAAACTTCTTCACCTAATTGTGAAACTTGTGGCTGGTCTGAATATGTACATCATTTATTATTGGAACGTGAGGGGAACCGACTAGTAAGGTAATTTTGAACCCTTTCTATCCCCTTAAGGATTACAGACATGACGCTATGTATGTAGGTAGAAAAAATCCTAAATTTGTAATGTCCTCCAGACCAAATTTCGGCCACGGCGGTCTGCCTCAATGGACAGGACGGGATTACAGTGCCCAAGTGTATGCGCGAGTACAGGTGCACTCTCTATTCCCTCACTCTCATAATACGATGGGACGGTAAACCGACACGACCGGGAAAGAGATCGGGCGCAGGACCGCAGGATCAATGGCTTTACGTGCTTTCCGAGGCACGGGGGTGAGACACCGCCGACTCCGGGCAGCTACTGATAATTTCTTGACGGAAAAACTCAATAATTGATTTTTTGGCCCGACCCGGGATTCGAACCCAGGACCTCATGATTGGCAGTCGCACTGATACAACCACTAGAACAATGAGGCAGTCAACTACTAAATTTATATGTATGTAGTGTGTGTGAGTTTTTTAAAAACAAGTTAAATATGAAAAACAAAGACAGCAACACTTACGAAAGCAGTGACACTGAAGATGTGGAGCGCGTTCGTCTCATAGTTTAACGAGGCGTTGAGTCCAATCGTCATGGTCATGCGGTACCATTCGTTCTCTATGTTGTCGCCTTGGATGTAAAATATGTTCTCGTCACCTCGATCGCTCTCGATGCTAAAGGTCATGAAGCGTGTACTTATCTCGCCGTCGGCATCGGTTACCTCGTACACGCAGTTGGTGAGGCCTGGGTCACCGAGTTCCTGAAAGTGCAATGCGATGTTAAACTCCGATAATCCGGAACGAGATCAAAACCTCGTGCCGAAACCAAATATTTGTAGGCATATAAATACTTGCACAAATACACACGTAAATAATTTAGCAATACTGACTCAAGACCTTTGATTTTTTTATAGAAGAGGAGATATTTTTATACAATAAGGGCAACAAACGAGCACAAAGCCCGCCTGATGGTTAGTTCATCCTGTGGCCCATAGACATCTAAATCTATCCTCGATTAAGAATCAAAATGCAAATGCGTTGCCGTCTGTGACGTCTGTTTACTGAGATAGAATGCCTCGTTTCCATTAATAAGGGTCTCCGGTTCTGTAGAATCACCATACGAAACACATCAGCATAGAGCTGCTCTTTTACTGTAGTATTCTGTGAGGGCGTGGTCCTTCCCGATCGACTACCGTAAAAAAGCTGCAGCGTGGCTCTACCATGTAAAAATTCTACTACTCCACCAGCCTGGCGGCAGGACGGCAGCAGGCGCAAACGATCGCACGCGTCTCGGGCATACCTAAATCGCGTCGTGAAATTTAACTATAGTGAATATAGTCTTAATTAAATTAAATAGAGCCGTGGTAGCTCAGTGGTTAACGCTCGCTGTAAATATAACAGAACGCGAGTAACCCGGGTTCGATCCCCGCCGGCACTAATGAAATTGTTAATTGCAATTTTAAGTGCTGATTTACCACGTGCTCGGCGGTGAAGGAAAACATCGTGTGGAAACCTGCGTGTGTGAGGAATATAAAAAAATAATATTTCGAAGACATGTGAAGTTCGTCAACACGCATTTGGGGGGGACACTTCCTTGCCCTAAACCCTCTCAGAAATGAGGGGAGGCCTGAGCCCAGCAGTGGGACGTATATAGGCTGTAACTTTACTTTTTTACTTTTAAATGTAGTCTTATAATTTTGTCGCGATATAGCATCGAAAAATACGGCACTTTTTTTTAATTTCAGAAAACCTTGAAATAATAAGATCTTAAATCTTAAATTTTAGTGCTTAATATTTCCACGCTTTATACTTATTTAAAAGGAATAAGTATTGGCATATGTATAGGAACATTAGCTTTCTGTCACACGAGGTCGTTATATGAACCTTTTCATTAAATATGTATTTGAACATGTAAAAACGATATAAATTATTTATTAATCTAATTCATACTCTTGGCAAGTATTTTTTTTTTTTTTTTGTTTATCGTTTTTTTTTTTTCACGTGTTTTGGGTGCCTTACCTTTTTTTTTTTGCTTTGTTACGCAATGAATAATGTTCACCATTTAAGTATCGGTTTGATAACTGTAGCTAACTGTGAAGGATGATGGTGAATCTCACCATCATCCTTCACAGTTAGCTACCGTGGGCAAATCTTTGTTTCAGAGAGTACGAGGGATCTGTGACAGCAAACACCTGGCCGCCGAGCTTCAGCACGTCAAGCAGGTTCTGCACGACAACAAGCTTCGGGTCCCGCGCCTCCGCCACAGTGACCGAGTGAAGCCGGCCACAGTCGAGCGTGTGCCTGCTATACTACCATATGTCAGAGGTGTCACAGACAAGATTGGCTACATCTTGAGCGCGAGCTTCTATTAGAACATTCTACAAGCCGCCGAAGAAGATTAGTCAGTTCTTACCATCCGTCAAGTGTCATATTCCTCTACAAGATGCAGGAGTTTACAAGCTTGATTGTGATTGTGGTCTCTCATATAAGGGCAAACAAAGAGATCAATTAGAACCCGCGTAAAAGAACACATAGCTGATGTGAAGCATCAACGTTCCGGGAAGTCTGCAGTTTGCGATCATATTCTAGATGGCCCCAACCATTACATCAGATTTGATAGACCACAAATTCTCGCGAAAGAACATCGATTCCTATCAAGGATGATACGTGAGGCTATTGAAATTAAAAAACATCCTAATTTCAATAGAGAAGGAGGCTGGGTACTACCACCTGCTTGGGATCCTATAATTAATAAAATTAAAACTAAACCCAAGCATACCACTGCAAGACTTCAAAATACAGTTAGTTCATTCTGCGTAGATCGAACCAAAGACAATAATTAAAAAGCTGAAGGTACTCCGGGTTAACTTTGACATCGGGACGTCAGTCACCTCAGTCCCCCGTGACCATGGGTGCTGGAAAGCACCCGAAACGTCGGGTATTAAAATTAATATAAATAAAACGCGATAAAATCCGTAAAAGTAGTTTTAATCAATGTATAGTGTTCGCGTAAATATAAGAAATCATTATGTAAATCAATGTCTTTTTTCCTAAAATACCAACAACTAAAACCTACCACCTACCAGCGCCTTCAGACGTTTTATTCAATAGAATAAGGGTGATAAGCGAGCACACAGTTCATCTAATGGTGAATGGATGCTGTCGTCCATAAAAACACATCTATCCTCGATTAGGAATCAAAATGCAGATGTGTAGTCACCTCTGACGACCAAGATTGAATGTCTCGTTTTCAGTAAAAAGGCTCTACGGTTCTCCACAATATGAAACATAGCAGCATTAAGCTGCTATTTCACGCTGGTATTCTGTGAAAGTGTGTTCCTTCCTCGGTCGAGACGACTCATTCTTAGTAAAACGATAATATAGCTGCAGCAAGGCTCTATACTTTATGTATAATTGTGTAGTCCGGTAAGTCTTCCAACCCTCTAGGAGTATTTTGGTTATTTCTCCCCCTTTCCATCGCGTTTGAAAATTGAAGATGAGGTCTTATATCCAGTAGTACTTACTTTAGCAAATTAGAGATGTCATACTTTAAGAACTACCGAGTACAAGGCTTCCCCTTGAATTCGCTAACGCAATGGGACTATGGAGAATTGGCCAAGATGCTGTTGTTTGTCTAAAAACTGTAATTTCACATGATAAAACAGAACTCTTTAGAGTATATATAAGAATAGCTTCGTTATGTATACTCACTGGCACTTGGCACGTGTCAAACGCGTGTATGATGGGATCGTTGTCATCGATGTTGACGATTTGCAGAGACACGCCGGCGATCAGCGCTTCGCCGTTCACTCGCACGTTGAACATGTACTGCTGCATTCCTGGCGTCTCGAAATCCTGTCTGGAATATGTTTCTAATCACAGTCCCTTTTTTATAATATTATAAATTATTTAACTAAATTAAAAATATAAAAATTAATTAGCTAATAACCACGTAAAAATTTAAATGATGTCTTACTTAGTTTGAAGAGCACCGCCCAATCTGCCCAAGCTGCTTCAATTTCATGCCCCATCTCCATCACCACTTATCCCAAACTTCACTACTCCTAACACCATTTTTTACAAGGTAGAGCCACCCTGCAGCTATTTTATAGTTGTAGTACGAATGGGTCGGCTCGACTGGGGTATCACCACGCTCTCACATAATACCAACGTAAAATAGCAGCTTAATGTTGCTGTGTTTCGTACGGTGAGTGTAAAGAACCTGAGACACTTTTTACTGGTAACGAAGTAGTCCTCAAGGGTGACAACGCATCTACATTTTGAATCTTAATCGAGGATATATGTAGATGTCTATGGGCCACAGCATTCACTTACCATCAGGTGGACTGGAGGTACGTTTGTCGCCCTTATTCTATAAAAAAATGTTAGCGTGGATGATACAAGTTTGTTTATATGTAATCGCGGGTGTGTTTGTAAAAATAATTCTCAAAGCTTATTACCTTTGCGTAACATAAAGAAGCCATTTGTCTTCTTCCTTGCGTATAACCGGACCCAGAAGGTGAAACGATCCCGATACAAAAGCTTCCACTATATATGGCTCTTCAGAACCTGCAATAATATGGTTTTAATGTCATTTTATATTATCACCCTTTAGAAAAACGTCAATAGTTATTTCTATACCCATTACAAAAATATATAAGTACAAATTTACAGATATTTGTAATATTAGAGAGATTTACTCTTAGCAGCTTCTGATAGACGAATCAATGAGAATCTTTAAATTTAAAAATATTGAACGGGTGCGAGGGTTTTTTCTTGTCCATGTTCGTCTTAAGACCAATTGGAAAACGCTACAGAGTTGTTGAGTATAATGTTAATATCCTCCAAGGATTTTGTGCCATAATGTCTAATATATAAATCTTAATGTTTTCCAAATTAATATATGAAAAAATATGTTTAGAGTATTAATAATAGCAGCAAAATTGCTCCCTTCATAACCAATTTTTTTTTGAAAATGTTATTAAATTTTTTTGCGTAACCGCAATTCTTACCATCATAGTTTATGACAGCTATAGCGACATCTCCAACTATTTCTTCCTCCATGTATATAATCTGGGTACCAGTGTTTTCAGTGAGAGGGTAATAATCGTCCATACAAACATCATCACGCTCTGGAGCTGGGATGAACGGTCTCTCACTAAATGATTTACCTGGACAGAATAAGTAAAAAAATTATTTATTGATACGCAACTAACACATACTCGTAAACACAACAAGTCTTATAGTCAAATAATGTTTTTAAAAAAACCGACAGCGGCAGGAATTTCACCACAGCTTCATTTTAAGTTTTGAAAATTTGAATGGGATGTCACTCAAAATTAAAAATTATTATTTGAAAAACCTGAAGAGGATTTTCTATACTGTGAAAAAAAACCATATTGATAGATACAAAAAAACCTAAAGAGGATTTTCAAAGAACTATTCTATGATACCCCACTTGACATAGTTCATCGAAATTCATGCTTTTTTTCACAATATGGTGTCTGGTTGTTGCCATATTGATTTTGATTACTGTCATGTCTTTAGTGGCACTGCGTACGTATGTATATAATTACTCTTAGAGTGGCACTCACGAGATTAAGACAAATCGATTGATGTAAGAATCATCAAAATCGGCAGAAACATTCGGTCTCTAGAGCGCCACAAAACAAACATACGTACATATTATACTGGCTGATAAATACATTACCTTCTTTGGCAAACACAGTCGGATAAATACACACGCCTGCAATACGCAAACATGCACGCGCGTTCATGTGTCTTCTATACGAAATTGTAACAAGGAATAAAAACACACATACGTAAGTCGTAAAATATATAAGAAACCTGAAAAAAATTATATTACACTTCGACCCTGGCCTATTAAGACCTATAGAGCCGAACAACAGCTGAATTGTTCCAGCCATGAGCATATGTACATGTGCAGTGTGATGTATCCATATGAACATATTGCTACGTGCGAAGTAAGTAAAAATGCAGAATATGATTAAAAATGGACGTACAACCGCGTCCCTGGGCGGGTCTCACCGCTCAGAACATCGAACGATACGAGTTAGCCGTCAGAACCGGGGGCCGTTACCCCCTGCTCGGACCACGGAGTCGGTATCTTTACTCATGTCGTTCAGACGGCCGTTAAATAACTCAATTACATGTACTTTAAACCGACGTAGGCAAGCATCGTTACGCAAGTAACGACGCAGTTCGACACAAAAAACCCTTTTTTAAGCCTAAAACCGATGAACCTGTAAGAACCGCATAGGCTAACAGCACCAACATCAAACCAGAAGCGAATCAAAATCGAAAGCTTTCAACATATCAAAGAAGTGCGACGTAGTATATTTTTTGTTGTTTAGTTGTGTATGGATCTCATTCACTATTAAATGCCGCATGTGTAGTGGATTTACTTTTCCGAAATCCATATCGATTGTGTTTGAGTATATGATATTTATCAAAAAGCTGTGTAAGTTTTTCATGAATAACCTTCTCAAATACTTTTGGATATGATAGGAACCAACGTAATGGGCCGGTAGTTACTTACGAGTGTCTTTTTACCCCTTTTAAATAGTGGCTTCACCGGTAAGAATTTTAAATTGTCTGGGAATATCCCAGATACCATTGACTGATTTATCAGAAACGCCAAAAAAGCGCCTAATTGTTCATTACATATCCTGATAATCTTTGTAAATACCTCGTCGTACCCTTCTAAATTTGTGTTATTCAGTGATATAATTATTTTCCTAACATAATATTCGTCAATTGGGGTCAAATAAATAAAGTCAGGAGTTTCACATAATATGTTTGTATTTTCTTTATTTGTCAATTCAATAAACGTAACATGTTTGCATTTTCTTTATTTGTCAATTCAATAAACGTAACATGTTTACATTTTCTTTATTTGTCAATTCAATAAACGTAATGTGTTTGCATTTTTTTTATTTGTCAATTCAATAAACGTAATATGTTTGCATTTTATTTATTTGTCAATTCAATAAACGTAATATGTTTGCATTTTCTTTATTTGTCAATTCAATAAACGTAATGTGTTTGCATTTTCTTTATTTGTCAATTCAATAAACGTAATATGTTTGCATTTTCTTTATTTGTCAATTCAATAAACGTAATATGTTTGCGTTTTTTTTATTTGTCAATTCAATAAACGTAATATGTTTGCATTTTCTTTATTTGTCAATCCAATAAACGTAATATGTTTGCATTTTCTTTGTCAATTCAATAAACATAATATGTTTGCATTTTTTTTATTTGTCAATTCAATAAACGTAATATGTTTGCGTTTTTTTTATTTGTCAATTCAATAAAATAATTATTAAATAAAGTCGCAATCTTTGTAGGATCATTTATAACATTGTTTTTGTGTTCAATTGAATCTATAATAATTATTATACTGCGGTCTAGTGTCAATTTCTTCCTGTATATTTTTCATGTAGCCTTACAAATATTTTTGCTTTTTAATACTTTTTTTATTTTGTTTGTATTTTTGCTTGGAATTTAAAATATTTTTGCTTTTTAATACTTATTTATCATTTGTTTGTATTTTTGCTAGGAATATACATTTCTTTAATAACTTAGAATAGGTGTTATATTTATTTTTGTTGATATAATTTCTTTTTTTGATAATATTTGTACCGCAGAATTCTATTTTTACTGCAGATTTTTTTTAAATTTCCTTTGTAATCCATTTAAGTCTCTCGCTTTGTAATTCCCGTGTAATCCACTGTATTGTACAAACAGGAAAACAAAGTTTATAAAGTAAGTATAAATGAACCTATCATGGAATTTATAGAATGCTGCATTTGGTTCTACCTCACTATATACTTCTGATAATGAGAAACATGCCAGATATTATTTGAATTTTAACCTTTGATTTTTTACCTATGTTCAGTAGTGGACTTTTATGGGCTTTAATGGTAATGTTATTCTGTGCGAGCATGGACTGTCTAAAGTCGAGCCGATTCTTGCGTGTTACGGCCACAATTCGCTGCAACATGACTCAACTACGAAGAGTTTCTGCTATTAATTAATATTTATGCTACTATAATCTGTACATGTAATTCAAATAAAGTGTTACAGTTATGTGTTAGTTTACATATACATAAATTAAAGTGCAATTTATTATTGAAATAACTGTTTTCTATTAAGGTGCGTGTTTGAACATAATGCCGCGCTAGTCGTTATCTGTGAGGTACTTAGGAGCTATCTACTTGATATTAAAAAAGATATATCAACTAATAAAAAGCCATAGAATACTATAATACACACATAATAGAAAAGGGGAGTGGGAGGCACCCGTGTAACCACTAAAATGTCACTAACATATCAATTCACACGTATAAATATCTACACATCTCTTTTGACGTTACAATCGTTTACAATTTTCGATTATTATTCACACTATTTACTAATAGATATGTATTAAAATTTAAACGATTTTAATTTTAATTATGATCTTGAACATGAATCAAAAGTTTAAAATGTGTAAATTCGCTCAGTCAACACGGCGAATCGGGTTTGTATGACAGCCATTCTATTGTGTATTATAGTATTCTATGTAAAAATCTATTAAAATTTCTACATAATCCTGATTCCATAATAGCCGATTCCATTTTTTAAAAGGGGTAAATACTTAACGAATCTTCCTACAACTAAACTACAGAAATGTAAAATAATTATTGATAACATGGATCTTCTCCAAAAGTAAGCATTATTTTGTTTTGCGATTGACATTAATAGATAGGCAATTTATTAATAAACGTTTTGATCTATAAAAATTTTCAAAGGACTATAATTCGATTTTATAAAGAAAATATTTTAAAATTTGGGAGTATTTCTTAGGTGATATATTGTAGCGAGAGCGCGTGGAGTGTAAAAGCATAGGGGGACCGAATGCTCAAGGTCTAACTAGGTCTAAGCTCAAAGAGCTAGTCTTAAGCTTAAGCGGTTATTTTCAAGCTAGTAAGATTAAAAAAAAAACAATTTTTAATCGTCCTTCTGTCTGATTTTGATGAAACTTTACGAATAGAAAGCAATGCCAGGAGAGATTTAGGCTTTACATTGTTTATTCGAAATAATTTGAGTTTTTTCTCTTTAAAAAACAACATAATATCTATACAAATAAATAAAATTGAAATGTCAGTTTGTAATGTCAAAATAACAGCTTTTTACTAAAATCATATGAAAGTATAAACGGTACTTATAACAAAAACACAATTTTTAAAGTTTTATACTATCTGTCTGTCTGTTTGTTCCGGCTAATCTCCGAAATGGCTGGACCGATTTTGCACTGGACTTTCATTGGCAAATAACCGATGTTATAAGGAGTAACTTAGGCTACCTTTATTTTAAAAAAAGAATTAGGGTGCTATGCAAATAAATTAAAACCCATGAAATCCAATCATAATCAACTCCACGCGGATGAAGTCGCGGGAAACAGCTAGTTGATAATATAAATGGTTTATGGTTGGTTATCTTTAATCAGAATAATGACACAACAAAGTTATTTTGATCCGGACGAAGCCAGAGCAGGCCACTAGTATTAAATACATTTACGTTGTATAAGCACATTCAGCCAGGTTATAGAATAGTTAAAGATCATTGGTTACCTTCAATATCAATTTCAGGTAGATCGTCCGGCTTTGGTTCTCGTGGTATGCTGGTCATGTACGAGCATCTTTCTGAAATATGAACTACAGTGTAAGGATGACGCGATGCAATTGTACTGTGTCTGTTACATTAAGTTACAAATGACGTGAAACAGAGGGAAACTGAATAACAGGAGATAACAGGAGTTGGGCAGCAGCTTCTTCCTTATAAAATCTCAACGCAATAAAAAACTGCGGTTGCAGATCCGCCTGAGAAGTGTGCCAACAATGATAAAAACCCTGTATGCAAACCCGTAACATTCATTGCTATGCAGATGACAGCACTGGTGATGCTCTTTACACCGGCCGAGCCAATATTTCTTCGGACCGGATTCCGGGACAAACTTGTGTCTGAAGTCGAGTCTTTGCTGAACAGAGTCTCGGATTGGTGGCGACTAAATCTAGTCCAGTTTAACCCCCAGAAGACACAAGTTTGCGCGTTAACCGCCAAAAAGAACCCCTTTGTCGTATCTCCTCAGTTTCAAGGAACTCCCCGTGTTGCCTCAGCCAGTATCGGAATCCTCGTCGTCGAAATATCGAGTGACTTGCAGTTTCGTGGTCACTTGGAGAAGAAGACCAAACTGGCCTCTAAAAAAGCTTGGCGTGCTCAGCAGAACGGGACAGTATTTCATGCCGGCACACCGCCTGCAACTTTACAAGGCGCAGGTTCGGCGGCACATGGAATACTGTTCCTATCTCTGGGCTGGAGCTCCCCAGTACCAGCTCCACTTGACCGCATCCAGTGCAGAGCGGTTCGAATCTTCGACGACCGAGTCCTTTCCGATCGGCTCGATTCACTGGCACTGCGAAGAGATGTTGCATCTCTTTGCATTTTCTTTCGCATATACCATGGAGAGTGCTCTGAGAAATTGTTCGGATTAGTCCCATCCGCCAAATTTCGTGAACGGACTACGCGACAAACGTCCCGATACCATCCACTCCATCACCATCAATGAATGCTTGGCGGTCCACCACTGTACGTTTCAAGAGGAGTTTTCTTCCGCGTACAATCTCTCTGTGGAATAGTTTACCACCAGCGATTTTTTCCCGACCGATACGACCTGGGGACCTTCAAGAAAAGAGCGTACTCCTTTCTAAAGGGCCGGCAACGCACCTGCAATTCCTAAGGTTTCTTATGTTTACAACATACAGGCACATCTTAAAAGACAGTTACACATAAACAAAGATTTTTTTCGAAAGTAAATAATACTATAAATGGGTTATTCCGTACATCTACCCTAAAAAAATCAACCTAGGGTGGATACTCGGAAACGTGTGTTCATCTATCCATCCCAGACAGGGTGGATAATCGAAATTCATTACATATTACTTTTCTTCCGGGTTTTTTTCTTCAGCTGTGCACAGTCATTAGAAACATGATAAAAAGTGGGCTAAGATATTTAGTAGACGTTACCTACCTATAAAAATATTATGTTCGAAAGATAAACGCTGTAATAAAAGCAGTACCTAACAGGATTACAGATTCATTGGAATCTTGGCATAAAATAATTTAAAATGAAGTTAAAGACAAAAGTAACGTTTTCGAATGCTAGCAAAAACGATCAGTTTCCCGCTAACATATCCGTTGTAGCAAAGAGATTTAGAGAATGATTGCAAATGTACATTTAAAGTGAATAAAGCATAGTGCAGAATTTATAAATTACACAGTAATAGATTATTTAATACGGGGAAGTTCAATTAGATTTAAATGCAATACGTAATGTGTGGAATTTAATAGGTTGTAATATTAAAGGTAACTGCAATATGTAATAAGTCTTTTTAAAATAATTTTGCAGTTATTAATAATTAAAGTGTATGCGCTGAACTATATTTGGAGTGAAACGTCGGGAGAACAAATACTAGTGAATTCCGATTATCCCCCCCCCCCATCGGGGATGAACACGCATTTCCGAGTATCCACCTTAGGGTTATTTCTTAGGATGGATAAACGTAATAAACTCTATAAATTACTTACTAGCTGTACAGTTATAATAATAAAACTATACGCTACAAATATGGCCACTTACCTTGACAATTTACCAATGTCATTTTAAGAAGCAGTAGTACTACTAGCGCTACGAGGCGTATGTGACTCTCCATGTTTCATGATCTACACAGCTGTGCCTCTACAATAAACAAAATAGAAATCTCAGCTTCATATTTTTTTAAAGAATAAGGACGAAAAACGAGTACGCAGTCGACCTGATGGTAAGTGGATGCTGTGATCCATAGACATCTACATTTATCTTCGATTTAGAATGAAATTGCAGATGCGTTGTTACCCCTGAGAACTAAGACAGAATGTCTCGTTTTCGTAAGCCTGCGGTTCTCTATACTCACCATACGAAACACTATTTACGCATGAATTCTGTTATAGCGTGGTCTTTCGCCGGCCATAATATGGCTGCAGCGTGGCTCTGTTACATACAATAGATATAACTCCACTAATCCCATAAAACGGATTTTTCATAGTATATTTATATCCCATTTGAGCGATTCGGATAGCAACCTAAACCCTCAAGGATGCAAGTAAAAATAGTGGAGTTGTAGGTTTAAATCAAATTCGCAATCTTGAAATGAGTGACGAGAATCGGAAAACCTTTTGAGTGATACCGTTAACTAATGATTTCTTATATTTACGTGAATACTACACATTGATTAAAACTACCGTTACGGATTCTATCACGTTTAATTTAAATAATTTTAATTCCAGACATTTCGGGTGCTTTCCAACATCCACGGTCACGGGGGACTGAGGTGACTGACGTCCCGATGTTAGTGTTAACCCGGAGTACCTTCAGCTTTTTAATTATTATTTATGGTCCGATTTACGCAGAATGAACTTACTCTGTCTTGAAGTCTTGCAGTTTAGTTTATTTAATTTTTTTTAGTTAATTTTTTTTAATAAAGCATGTGGTGGTACCCAGCCTCCTTCTCTATTGAAAATATAATCTTTTTTTTTTTTAATTTCAATAGCCTCACGTATCATACTTGCTAGGAATCGGTGATCTCCGATGGTTAGCGCTAGCTGTAAATTTCGCTGTACGCGAGCAACCGGGGTTCGATCTCCGCGGCCATCAATGAAATTGTTAATTGCAATTTTAAATGCTGATTTACCACGTGGTCGGCGGTGAAGGAGAAAACCTGCATGTCTGAGAAATAAGATAAAAATATTTCGAAGACATGTGAAGTTCGCCAAAACGCATTGGGGCAGCGTGACGGACAATTCCTTCCCCTAAAACCCTCTCAGAAATGAGCGTAGACTTGTGCACAGGATGGGACGTAAATAGGCTGTAACTTTAACTTTTAACTTTAAATCAGATGTAATGGCGGGTTCCATCTAGGATATGATCATAAACTGCAGACTTTCCGGAACTTCGGTGCTTCACGTCGGCTATATGTTGTTTTACGCGGGTTCTAATTGATATTTTTGTTTGCCCTATATGTATATGAGAGACCGTTAACGTTACAGCCTCATAGGTGGAATTTTCACCACAGTTGCTATGCTTGGCAAGCGGGTTGGCTGCTGCCTTTTTATTGGTTACGACACATTTAATCTTATTCCTCAGAGATTACAATGCATCTACATTTTGAGATCCTTTGGGGATTAAGAGGTGTTTAATGTTTATGCGTCACGGCGACCACACGGCGACAGACCGGCGATCCTGTGCTAGTTTGTTATCTTTCTCTTCGAAATAAGATTAAAAAAAATTAAATTTTTGTTTTTCACTTTGATTACGATATTAAATACGTAGTTTATCTTTGAAAACAGTGATAAGATACAAAAATTTAAAGATAGAAATTTAAACATAATTAAATAACTGCTTCCAGCCCGACGGTGGGGCAAAATACGACACTCCTGCAAGCATATGTCAAGTCACAGATATCATAAATACAAGGATGTATCTGTGTGTCTCTCTATGGCATCGTAGCTCCAAAATGGATCCGACGAACCCAAACGGTAACTTGATAAAGCGATAAGCGTTCAAGCTGTGATTCAAGAAAATCTTTTCCGTTTCATGATCATTAGCTTTTTTGTTTCGGGATTTTCTAAATTATTAATGTAAAGTATTCATTGTTTAACATTCTGTAAAAAGAAAATAACAAAGACACAAATTAACTAAATTAACAATCAGAAAATCAAGAACCGTGACCCACGGTTTGGACTTTTTTACGTCCGTGCTCTTATCCTATAAAAAAATTAACTCCACTGTCTGAACTGTATGAAAATCCACTGTCTCATATCGGTGTCGTAAGAGACAATAGAAGGTGATTGAAAAAGAAGATGGACCGTACACATCACTCTCTTCCTGATAACAAAACAAAATCAGGAAAAAACTGCGATTGCTAAAACTGCGATTGCTAAACCGCCTGCGAAGCGACGCAATTACGTGTACCTAATATGATATATACAGGTACTGGGAGGGGCGGTACTGAGACGCGGTAACAATATAGTCCGCGCAAAAAGTTATTTAAAAATATAATTAAAGTGAATTCAGTGATAAAAAATCGTACAAGTTACAATAAACTAGTGAATATGACTATATAGTGAAGACAAGATCCTAAGTTAATGAATAATACACAAAAAACCTAAAAAAACTGAAGTGTAAGCATACAACAATCTACGAACTTTTTAAGTCCTTCGTCGCGAATGCAGGAACTTAAATTGTACCAATGTCAATTTATGAAAGTGCCGAAGTGCGAACAAATGAAAAATCGTGAAAGCTACTCTTTTTTTGGAAAAACATAACCTCATACCTAAATGATTCTGCAGTTTCGCTTATCTGCTATAGTAAAGTAAACTGCGAAACAGTGCCATCTATTGAATGAATGAATGAATTAATGCATTTATTCTCTCTTCACCATAGGTATTCTTAATGCTAAGTGTTTACAAAAGTGCCAAACAGGTATAAAAGTTGTGCTAGATTGGTGCCTGATGTAGGCATTAAAAACCTGTATTACAGGTCATCAGGGCTCCCCCGCGTACGAAGCAACAGTCTGAGGAATACAAATCAGAAAGGAGATTATAATTAAGTAACCAAAATTAATTTATTACAAATTACAAATTTCACATCAATAAGTGTGTGTACTATGAAAAGTGTAGTTGTGCGTGTGAGCTAGTGCAGGCGCGTGCCTTTTGTGTGTGAATGTGTGTGTGTTTGTGTGTGTGTGTGTGTGTGTGTGTGTGTGTGTGTGTGTGTGTGTGTGTGTTGATGTGTGTGTGTGTGTGTGTGTGTGTTTGTGTGTGGGAATGTGTGTGTGAGTTAGTGTGTGTGAGTGATTGTGGACGTACCTGCTGTTGCGTGAGTTAGGACTAACATATAATTGCATTTAAACCCAAATAAGGAGAAGAAAGTGTGAAGACTTCGACGACATTAATATAAATTATATGGACGACTTTAGTAGGTTTTCGGTCGCTTCATAGTCTAAAGTTTTTAGATATTTTGTAAGAACGGATTTGCAGCTCGATTTAGGTAAGGGATAGAAGTTTAGGATATTGTTCAGTTTATTATACATGTATGGTCCTAGGAAACAGAAGTTGTGTGAGGTGGCATAATGGAAGGATTGGGTTCGACAAACAGAACCCCTCCTGCGTTTGTTTTTTAGGAGCTCCGGATCGTATTTACATTGAGAGTGTTTCAGTAGGACAGTTTGTAAGATGAAAGACTGTCTCACTGTTAGAACGTCCCACTTTCTGTAGAGATCCACTGTAGGAAAGAAGAACGGGAGACCTGCACTGACTTTTAGGATGGCCCTTTAGGCTCTTTCAACTTCGATTAGGTGGGTTTTTGCTGCACCACCCCATGAGCTGATGCAGTAATCTACAAGTGATTGTCATAGAGCGTGGTAGACCATCTTGATGATTCGGCAGTCTGCTACGTGTTTAAGAGATTTAAAGATGTAAATGAGCTTGCGTAACCTAGTGACAAGTATCTCGATATGTGGCTTGAAAGTCATCTATTAGAAAAGAAGCACACTACGTTCGACTACGTTTGACTTACACGCAATACGAATACGAAACAATATTAACCAATTTTACTAGAGGGCGCAACGAGTACCATAACAAAACAGCACTATGAAGGAAATTATGAAAGCCTTACAAAATATTCAAAAAGAACTAAACTTGAAAGAAAATGTTGAACAACAAGAAAAAAGAATTCAATTTATGGAAAAACAAGCAAGACAAAGGAACATAATTTTCTACGGTATTGAAGAGAGTGGGACATCCTATGATAACTTGGAAAACAATATATTGCAATTCATAAATGAAAAATTATTCTTAAAATTTGATTGTAGAGATATTCAAGAAATAAAGAGAGTGGGGAAAAAAGTGATAAGCCGCGACCAATAATTGTAACCTTTTCTACCCTTGGTTCAAAGATCAGCATTCTCAAGCAAAAAAGATTACTAAAAGACACCCAACATTACTTGAACGAGGATTACCCCAAATACATATTAGAAAAAAGGAAAAAACTACAGGAAGAAGCAAATAGAGAGCGTCAGAAAGGAAATAAAGTCACGATGAAATACGATAAACTTATTGTAATAAAATCAAACAACAAAAGAACACTGATGACTTCACCAGAGGCAGACCTCGATTCTTAAGCACTAGTTGGTAATAGTACAACAAGACCTATCAAGAAAAACAAAATAATAAAATCAAGCCCATCTATACCCAGATTAAACAGTGTCCCAGAAGCAGTTCTAAAACCAAGCATTCTAAGCTACTTAATAAACAATAACGTCAACACACCATATAACCAAACCAACTACAATACAACCAACAACTTACAGTCATAGCAACAGACCCTCCCCTCCCTCAACGATGCAACATTCAATCAATTTCAACTAAGCAACGAATACCATCTTACAATCCGGCTGGTCACCGTGGAAGATCAAGACCAAACCCTTTAAAGAAGACATCTCAAACTCAAACTTCTTTAATAACAATAAATGATACACAAACCCAATAAATACTTAACTCAAATAAAAAGAAGAAAGATCAACTCTACATAGTAACTTACAACGTCAGAACTTTATCTACTTAT